AATATGTACATTTTTTTTAAGTTTTGAAAGGTATGCAAAATTTATGCTTTATAAACTATTTTGAAAAATCTTGAATTTAATAATTATAATTAATAATTATATTTTAGCTACATAATATAAAAAATATCTAATTATTAAACATATTTTAAACGTAATATTTTGGATTCGATGATACTAAATGATTCAAATTTAACTACATAATTTATTACCATTATCAAATATAATACAAAGATAATTTTTTTATTGATACAGTCAAGATTTTTTTTTTTTTTTTTTTAAATATACCAAACATTTTAAATGCAAATTATTGAGCTTGTATTATAGTATTGTAGAAAAACTATTATTTGCTTAAAAAGCCTAAAAATTAATTAAACTCAACACGGATAAGCATTTCTTAAATAATTTTTTTTTGGTTAAAATTATTCCTATACAATAGGAATTCCTATAATATGGATAAATTCATAATTTTAGTCATATTCAAAAATAAAAAATAATAATTAATCAAATTCAGGGTGGACATTCCTTACTGATCGATTGCTTAATAATTATCCAATCCAAAACATTAAAAAAATTTTTTATATTAGTCAATAGTATAATGTTTGAAATAATTTCCTTTTTCATGACAATTATCCAATGACAGTAACTCATAGGGTGTTCGAAATTATTTACAATTTTATATAATACAGTCTTTTTTTAGACATTAAACAGCGACTTCTTGTATGATATTGATGAACATCAAAGGGTAATACCATTTATTTCGGATATCTACATATAATTATATGATAAATCCATATATAATTAATTTATTAAAATATTTAAAATCAAACATTAAAAGCAGACATTAATCTCTTCAAGTTTTATTTTGTAATATTGAATAATTAAAAAATAAGCCAATTATTTCTAATATTAATTATAAATTTTTAAAGTTAACTATTATTTATTTAAATACATTTTATTTCTATATAATAAATAGTTTAATATTCATACATACATAATTCATATTAAATTTTTAATAAATTAATAAAGTAATTGTAATAGTTCTTGTGGTTTATTTAAAAAAAAATAACACTTTGTTTATAAATGTGTTTAATAATTTACAGTTAATTTAATTCAAAAGAACAAATATTACTGACATCGATAAAATACAAAACTATGACAAAATATAATTAATAGTTAGATAAATTTTGAATGAAATTTTTAAATACGTAGTAGAAGTTATTAAAATATTATTTCAAATTCAAATTTATATATAAATATATAAACGTATTCCGTTTAAGATTTTTGTTTCTCTTTTCATTGTTTTGAATGCTGCCGCATGAACCTTTTTTGGTTTTTAAATTAGAATTTATGTGATTTTGAAATTCAATAAATTTTACTTTTAAAGTACATTGTTGAAATTATTCAAAACTTGAGTCATTCTTTATTTATTCGATTTTCATACCATATATTTTAAAATAAAATAAATTTTTTAATTTAAAAATTAAAATATAAATTTATAAAACATAATAATTTTTTTAGTGCAATATTTTGTTTATTAAACTATTTATAAATTGAATATTTTAGTTATCCTGGGAAAAACTTTAATTTAATTTTACGGTTTTTTTTACATTTTCTATAAGAATTGCTATAAGAGTTGTTAGAATCTAGCCATAAATTTATAATTTATATAAGGTGGATTCAAAACATTTAATAAATGTATATATTTATGATATGAATATATATTGAGTTACACTAATAAATTCATAATATTAATGTAGACTGATAAAGACATAATTGACAATAAAAATTGGTACATAGTTTATTTACTAATGTTGTAATAATAAGTTAAAATTATTTTAAATTTAAACAAGAATATTTTCTTTTATAAAAAAAGTAACTCAATATTTTTACTGAATTATTTTTAAAATTGAATTTATATTAAAATTTTTTGTAAAAACAGATGAACAAATATTCACTAAAATTGCAATTGCGTTTATGTTTATACATAAATTTAATTATTATCCATCTTATTTATATTAATAAATTAAACTTACAAAATTTATTGAGTATAAATGAATGTTATAATACAATGATTTAAAATATAAAGAATGTCGGACAGAAGATATTTTCAGTACTACTTCAGCTTTCTGACCATCGTGAAAGAGAAAACTTAATAAAAGACAGTTTTATGAATGAGAGATGGATATACTAGAAGCATATTAGTACATGGGACCTCGAGAATTATGTTTATGTATCAGTTACCTCATCTACACAAGGTAAGGACACACGAGGAAGTATGATAAAACCGGAGGAGGCGTATATTCAAAGAGCTTTAATGCCATATCCACTTGATGGCTTGTTGATCTTTGCAGCTAACCGGAATTTAGCATATTTAATTACCTCAGGAGACATATTTTTTGTGACAGATATAGCTTGGTTCGACTAAATATTTATTTTACCCTAACGTCAAATTCGTACTCAAAACCTGAAATATTTATATACATATTTTATGACATATGAATATCAATTTAACAGAGCATCTAATCTCATTGTATGTTTAATGATTTTCAATTATTAATAAATTTCTTTCCAATAAAAAATTATTTTAAAAGAATAATTTATTTAAAACATTGTTTTTTTTTAATTTCAAACATTTTATCATAAATCCATTAATTGTTACATTAGAATAGTTTGTTTGGGTTGGGTTTAACAACTTGAGGTTATACATTTTGTAAAAATTATTAATTAAATATAATTATTAATAAAATATTTTTTCTACTCCTTAGAATTTGTATGTTTCAATGTTAGTTTGTTCTTTTATATTTTTAAAGAATATCAACGATCAATTTTTTGTACAAAATCTAATATACATTAACGTACTTAATAAAAATTATATAAATTATTATAAAAATTATAAAAATTATTTTTATAATAATAATTTAGCTAATGGCATTTTAATCGTTGCAAATAAAAAGTATAAGTAATAATATAAATAAAAAGAATATTTATTGTATCTTATAATTCTTAATTTTTTTCTCCCTAATATTCTGTTTTATTCAAATATTTTTTCTTTATATTTTCCTTTCAACACCTAAACTTGTCATTTTATCTAAATTACATATTTCATAAAAGAATATTTTTCGTAACTCTGGGTGATTGATTTTCATATTTATTTGATATTTTAAAAATACTAACGTAAGAATCTATAAAAATATAATACTCAATGTAATAATCTGTATTTTTTAAATATACATGTTTTAATGCATAAATATTTTCTTAAGTTCTATTTTTATTTCATGTTTGGTGTTTATTATAATTCTGAAATATTGAAATTTAATTACTTTATCAAAGATTACAATAACCAGTCTTAAAAGGTTATATGTTTAATTTTGTTTGAGCTTCCGTGTAATGAGTAACACGTATTTATAGCAATGAACTTAATATTTAATGACACTTTACAGTTTCAAAGAGGTACATTTAATTTTTTTTAACGTAATAACAAAAGAATAGTTATCAATTTATAATTTTTTTTTTACATATTTATTTTTTAAATAAATATTATTTTATGTAAGTTATTATAACATTTCCAGTATTTTAAGAACATTTTAAAATAAATATATCGTAGAAAATAATTAGTGTATTCTTAACAAAGAAAATTGTTAGTAATATTATTAATAATATTAGTAACGAGATAAATATTGTAGATAATCAGGATTTTCAGGATTATTCGTAGAATATCGAAATTTATTTTTCAACCATCTAAAGGAAATTTCATTTTAATAGCAAGTGTTTTTTTTTATCAACATGGTTTTTTATAATATTTTATATTATGGAATTTTCAAATCTTTTATAGGTGTACACGCACGCACATAGGCACACACGCAAGCACAGACAGACACACACACACACACACACACACACACACACATATATATATATATATATATATATATAGAGAGAGAGAGAGAGAGAGAGAGAGAGAGATGCTTTTTAGATATATATGTTTAAATAATGATTTCTAAATTAAAATACATTTTTATTTTTTGAAGAACAAAGATTACAACAATTCTTTATACCATTGAAAAACACTTTGTAAAATTTGATGAAATGAGCTTTATAATAAATAATTTCATATAACATTCCAAGTAATAATAAGCCAATAAAATTTTGTTTTTTATATCAGGATAATTTTAATTAATATACTTATAAATAGTTAACTTGTATATAACATATGATTACTGTACATTTAATTTCATAATTAGTTTGATTTCAATTTACATTTTTTTTTAAACATTTTAAGAGAATTCGACATTTAAAATTCATAGCTTATGTCAATGTTAAACATACTTTTTATTGAAACTGTATCACGACAAAACAAGATATATTTATTTTATTTATTCTTCCTGTTTATTAAGTATTGTATAGTTTTTTCACTGTTCTTCGAAAAATAATAAAATTAACGTATGCAATCGTAGATAAATTGTAAATATGCATAAGTAGAAGTAAGTAGTAAGCATGAGTCAATGAAATTGAATCAAAATGACTTACGAATGGTTGTTAATTTACAAGAACGTGCATATGTGTAGTTTATGCGATATATTAATAAAAAGATAATGTTTCAAGCATCGTTATATGTAAAATGTTTGAAATTCCTTGTTGTATACTAGTCATTAAATGTGATACATTTATTTAAAAATATAATAATTTATAATTCGGTAAACAAAATGATAAACAAAACACCTTTGTTATGGCATATTGAGATTATGATATGATAATTTGTAAGAAAGGCATATACATCGATTGTAAACGTTTTTGAATTCACTATGCATATACAACTACTGCTGCACAGATTTATTATAACCTCTAAATATATTCATACTACATTTGACACACGCGCGCGCATACGCACTGCTCTTTCGTTATCTCTCTCTCTCTCTCTCTCTCTCTCTCTCTCTCTCTCTCTCTGTCTTCATGCATTTATCTATCTATCTTTCTCCGCCAAATCCGTCTGCATCATTCACGATTTCCGCGCATTCGTCGCCTGCGCATACACAATGACACACATGCAGACAGCCAGCAGCAGCTACACACGCGCACGAATGCACATTATTCGTTCGATGTGGCGTGTCGATGTCTCGTCGAGTCATCAGTGGCGGCGGCGCACGGATTATCGAGAAGAACCTGATTAAATATGGTAGTTTAAGGCAGTGTCGTCGTTTCGGGGCCCCCCCAAGGTGTAAGGACTGATCATTGGGACTCGTTAGCAGTCGTCCCGCGCGTTTCTGTACACGCGGAAGACTGTAACTCGAATCGTCGTACGACGACGGACAGGACACTGTAAGAATGTGACGGCTCAAGGTAATGATCTGCAGCTGCTCCTTCGTTTCTTCTTTTGCCTGATTGCTACGATCTTTAATGGGTTGATGGTTGACGCCCTGAGTGCCTCCGAGACCCTCCCGTCGCTTATCAAGAAGAGACCAATGGATTTTCTAGCGGACGAGATCGAATTTTCTGCTAACCAACAATGCTTGCTTCTCTTTTCTTCTCCCAGGTGTTTATTTGCCTCGTCCAACACTTGTGTGGAAATGCCGAATGTTTACTTTTCAAGTATCTCGATTGACTTTATCGATCAACACTTTTCATTACGCTCATACGATTGCTTTTCTGCTTTGTAATTCGTTGACTTTTAGGAACAATCATTATCATCAATTTTTGTTGAGTTTTTCATAAACATTGTTTCATTTGCAAGTCACGTCAGGCATTGTACGTGATTTACTGTTACTTAGTTCTTATTTGGCACATGGATTTCAATTCAATTAATTCAAGTTTTCATTTAAGTTTTTCTTAGCTTACAGTGTTTTAAATGTCAGCTCAATTTCACACGCACACATTTATAATCCCATTTATAGTCTAATTATCTAAGTAATAACTGAGAAATATTGATTATTAAATAGAAAAGATTATAGATATATTATAATGTGGACTATTATAAGTAGTCAATTATTGTCTTTTGCATATATTTGGTTTGTAAAATATAAGCTTGATAGTGAATTATAAATAAAATTATGTATAATCTTTTACATATCTATTAATATTAAACATTATTTATGGTTAGACTAATTTTATTTATAAATCTAAACACAATCAATATTTAATCCAAGTACTACATTTTTATAATTATTCTGTAGTTGAATTCATAAGCAATAGAATAGCTTTAGCGCTATTAAATAAACTATTTGTAATTAAAATACTTTTGTTATAAAATTGTGTTTAATTAAATTTTTAGTTGGACTGTATTCAAATAGACATTGCTTTTTTCTTCAATGCTACAAGCTAATTATTTTTGATTTTTTTTATTGATTATTAATTTATAAATGTATTTTGCACTTTATGTTACAGATAAAACATCTGAAAAGGGGGGATACAACAATTTATTTGCCATGTTTCATTAAAGGAGATGCCATCAGAAATAGATGAAGGAGACATGGTGTCCAAGCACGATGATGCAACTGATGGAGACTCTCAAGCAGAAACTGAATTCACCTCGTTGGATAACACCAGGCAGGAGGAAAGCAATAGCTATTTGCCAAATGCTGAGAATGAAAATACCAGCATTAGAAATGACAATTATGCCTTTCACAATGTTGCAGCGGTACAAAATCTCGATAATGCTGTGTTAACATTAAATTGTGAAACTGTCATCATGGAAAATGAAGCAAGAAGTTTGGAGAGTGGGAACGAGAGAATCAGAATAATAGAAAATGATGTAGAGAATAATCCAACAGAGTTAATGACATACGAAGCTGAAACTCAAATAAATGGCTCGAATGAAATTGGTATATCTAGTGCAGTTAGCTCTTTAAGCACGAGCGATAATACTACTCAAACCTCTTTACGAGATACTCAACCTGATAATGAGCCTTCTAAAAAGAATTTTACAAGATGTCTTGAAAGTAATATAAATCATTCTGATAATTCCCAGTCTACTTCTGGATGTAACTCATTGTTCAATACTCATAAGTCCAGCGATAATGAGTTAACAAATATTCAAAATTGTGATTCTATTGATGGTGCAGCATCCTTACCACTGCAAATTCCTGTGATAGATTCGTCCACTGGTGAAGGATCTTCAACTTGTGATAATGACATTGTCTTAGTAAATCGTAATAAACCTTTTAAATTACCAAGTTTGGTTAATCTTTATGAAGCAGCCGAAGCTCAGAGAGCTGAACTCGAGGATCGCGATGTTCTCACAGCCATGTCATCCATGGACATTGATTCTGGACTTTTTATGAGCAGCGAAAGTAGTAATTCCGATCCTGAAACACAACAAATTTCTGATCTTCGTAGGAATAAAAAAGTAATTAGAATTTACTTTGTTTACTTATAGTTATATATATATATATATATATATATATATATATATACATACATATATGTTGGTACCGATATGTTGTAATATTTTATTCTGAAAATTTATAAAACTATTTAAACGGAACTAAATACAATGTTATAAAAAAAATCAATAAATGTATATTTTTATTGTATACTTAACAATATATTATTTATAAAAACTAATATGTAATTTGATCAAGCATAAATTAATTAATATTTACTTCACTACAGAAAATAACAGATGCGAATGGTCATGTATCATGCGAGGGATCGGAATATTATCATTTATGGCGTAGTACAGGTGGTATTCCATCTACAGATTCCGTTTATGATACTCTTTATCCAAATCCTCCTCCACTACCACCACGCGCAATGCATAAGCCATTGCATAGAACAAGTGCTTTAGCATCTGTACCATTGAAATTGCCAAGAAGACATGCTCAGAAGCTTTCGGCACCCCTACGTCCAGAAGATTGTTTTGGATTTGAAATTGTTGATGTCGACGAAGCATCAAACTTAAAAGTAAGTTGATTTTGTGATCGTTAGACTTCACCAATTAACATATTTAATAACACTAATTTATTATATATACAGTGTGGATTCTACTAAAATTTTTTATCATTATTAAAGAAAATTACGTTTACATAAAATATTCTCTCATTCATTTACATTTAATCTTATTACTTGCTAACATTGCAGAATTGCTTTAGCACAATTTTACAAAATAATCCTAATTATAAGAAACCACGTTAAACGTTGTTTCTTCGTGTATTTCATTTTTTATATAACTGGCATACTTTTATATAATTGGCATAACGAATAATAACTTCTTATTGTCTATGTTTCGCAGGCACGAACGGCAGTAACCAAGAGTATTGCGTTACTGAGTTCGCCTCGGGCTCACCGTCCACTTATGAGACCAGACACTGCCGGTACGAGTAGTCAGTCCGAGTGCCCGCCTACTCCGACGCACCGTCCAAAACCACTGCGTTCCTTGCCCATGTGCCCAGCGGCCAACTCCGCGCTTACCTCGTCCGAGGAACCACTACCCTCCTGTGAGATCATTGACTTTTTGTGATTTATGCGATACCTTAGATATCTTGCACCAAGTGTAATCCTTAAGAAATTTAACACCATTCATGTACTTCTCATATTAATTGTTCAGACGTATGAAACATTGCTTGAATAAGTCGATTTATATCTTAAACATTTTTACGCATTAATGCACACAATTTATTAACAAAATCTACGTTTCTTTTTCTGTTTTTCAATAAACAGCACCGAGTGTAACATTAAACTAAAAATAGAATTTCTGTTAGGCAAATCGTGTTTTTCAATTTAATATGCAACTTTAATGTAAATAGAATTATCTTGGACAAAATTTACCAAAAATAATTTAAAATTAATTATTACCATCTATCTGGTTCTTATTTTATTGGTATTTGAAGTCTCGTATATATAAAAAAACATACTTTGTTAAGTATAATAGAAGATATTGATATTTAAGATTTCTGGAAAATTTAATTATATTTTTTACAGTAATTGAAATTGTTCCGATTTCGAATGTTGAAAATTATTTTACAAAATAATTTTATTAAGCGTGCTTGATACCCTTTTTTATATATAAATTTATTATATATATCAATGCAAATTATATAATATTTATTAACTAATGTTTACATTTTATTAGCTTGGGAAGCACGAATAGATAGTCATGGTCGTGTATTCTACATAGATCATGTGAATCGGACAACTACATGGCAACGTCCAGGTGAGTCAATGAAGTCACAATTAATTATTATTATCCTTTTCTTATTGAAATCAAGGTATTTTATTTAGATACAGATTTATAATTGTCATTTAAACAATTTAATATGAAACAATTAACTACTCGGCTTAAAGAATGTATGATATTAATTATTAATCTCTAGTCAAATATTAATCTGATGTTAAAAATTAAAAAAACTTTAGACAATGTCTTTACTAAAATATTTTAACATATTTTAATTCTAAATTACATATAACATTATTCGATACTAATTGTCTTAAATTATATGTTACACACGTGATATACATTCACTATACGCAGTTGTAAATAAATATGTATAAAAAATAATTACCTTTCTAATATTTAATTATGTAATTAAAATTGCTAAGACAATAAACATATTATTTACTGAAAAGACAATAAACCGTTAAAAGTAAATTTTATTCTAAATTATGCATTCACGTAAAAGACTAGAAATTTTATTTTTAATTCGTGAAATTAATCGTATACGATTGTTATAAAACTATATTGTTCAATATCTTTTGTTTTACAAAATTTGGTTTATATATTCCATTTATAATTCACAATTGTGATCCTAAAATGAAATATCTAAATTAATTGTTTGTGCAGTATTTAAAAATTCGTATTTTTTCATTTAATTAAAATATCAATAAATTATATGAATGTTAAATAATATAAGAATTACAATAATATTTGTAATTTATTTATGCGCATATAGATTAAGGTATATATACATATATATGTATAGACACCAACAAGAAATCATTTATATATAAATCGACATAGGTATAAATATATGTCGTTGTTCCTTCTGAATATTATCTTCAATCGGATATGATCAGAGTCATTACAAATGTAAATGAATATTCAAATGAGTCACGGTACATGCAAAACATAGTAATAAAAAAAAATATCGAATCATTTTTCGTGTTATATCGTCAATCATAGATAACGTTTAAAGTAGATCATTTATTTATTAATACATGCATTCAAGCATCAATTTAAAAATACACATAGTCAGTAATCATTTTGTTATAAATATATTTTGTGTCCCAATTTAAATATATTAATTGCTTGTAATTTTTATAGATGTTTTAATTTTATTTTATCAAGTCTTAATTTTTAATTAATGTACAATTTCTTTATAGAAGCAATGTATACAATCAACAGTAAGCGATACTTAATATAGAAATTAGAAAAAATGTTAATAATATTAAATAGTCATATTTATAAAAAACTTCGGAGTCTTCGTTAAGTAAATTATTTATTATTCCAATTAAAAATTGTTATTCTCTTATTATATCAAGTAAGTAACATTAAATAACGCACAAATCTCTATTTTATCTGTACTAATTTTTATACTTCATTACTTATCATCATCTAGATATGAATATATATATTTTTTTCATTTTAATAAATTTTAATAATAATATAACGCTATTATAAATTAATATTACAATTTAAACCCGCGTATCCTTTTGCTTTTAATAGAAGTACTTGTAATAAATAAAAGATATTTGCTTGAGTCGATAATTATTGTGTATTAATATATCTCTGAAAAATAGCTAATAAAATGTGTATGTAATATTCGATTAATTATCAGCGAAATTCCATTTAACAGGCTCATCGACTCGCAATGCCGGTTGCGATCTACGGCTCCAGCAACTCGATCGCCGTTATCAGAGCGTACGACGCACTATTTCCAGGTCGGACAACAGCGATCGCGAACCCAACGTTCCCTCGAGCTCCAGCTCTTCGCGGACCGACAATCAAGCTCAACAGCAACAACCGCAAACATCGTCACAAGCAGAGAGAAGTGGCACCAGCAGTTTAGAAGCCTTTGACGTGACAACAACACCCGCTGTTCAGTTTCTCAATCGACCCGACTTCTTTACTGTCCTCCACACCAATGTCGAAGCGATGGAGCTTTATAACAGAAACACTAGTCTTAAGTACATGATTAGCAAGATAAGGAGGGAGCCAAGAGTTTTTCCAAGGTACGAGCATAATCGAGACTTGGTAGCTCTCATCAACTTTTTCGCTGATCAGACCAAGGATTTGCCATCCGGGTACGAGTCGAAGCTCGACAGAACTGGAAAGGTCAGTGTTAATGCATTATAATTTCCTATTGCAACATAAGTGATTTTTGTTCTACTTTTTATTTTAGTCTAAACAAACTTCGTAATCATAATTCCATATCAAATTACCAGATTATTGTTTGTTAGACTATTCACAGAATATTAATCATAAATAAAATTTATTTACATCAGATATTTATATAAGACAACTACAATTTTACAATAAACAATATGTCATTCATTGCCTGTGATTTTTAACAACTGCCTATACGTTCAAAAAATAATTTAATAATATATATTATAATGAAATGTAATAATATGCTAATATTATTATAATTTATAATGCTTTTCGTTGTAATACTGCAGTAATATTTGTTAAAAGAGTACCTTTTAATATTTGTTAAACAGTATCTGATTTACGCGTGCACGTTTAGCTATTATAAATAATACAGTAATAACCATTGGATGGAGCTGATCTCGTATCTCCCCCGTGCTCCGCTCCGCCCTGCCCCTCACACATGAATTTGTGGTGAATTCGTAAAGTTGCTATGAGTATGATGAATTATTCGATACCTTCGTAAGACGATTATAAATGTTGCCTACACGTTTACGGCTGCAGAGATTCTTTATAAACCATGCGAGGAAGGCGACGTCGTTCATCGATCCCCGACTGCCAACGGAAGCGGCGCATCCTCGCACACTGCTGGACGAGGCCCCGGTACCACCACCGCGACCTCAGCAATCGATGATCACCAGTGCTCCGGACATACCGGTCGCCTACAACGACAAGGTTGTCGCGTTCCTACGTCAGCCGAATATTATGGATATCCTCAAGGAGAGACACGCGGCCCTCGGACAAAATGTTGCCTTAAGGGAAAAGGTGAATGCGATACGCATCGAAGGGAGCGTGGCTCTGCAGCGACTTGGTCACGACGTACCGCTCGCTTTGCTTCTCAGGTGTGAATTTTTTTTTATAAGTTTATTTATTTGAATTTCCGTGAAACAGCTGCTCTTCGACAACACAAATACAAAGTATCAAAATAATAATGCCATTCTCAATTATCCTATTATATCATCAGGTAAATTGATTTTAAAACATTTATCGATTTATTAGATATTTGATATGTGTAAAAGTAATTACTGTGATATAGCGGCAACAAAGTAAAATAATTTAATAAACAAACTCGTTACTACATAGTATTAATAATAAATATACTTATCTGTATGTATTTTGCCTTTCTTCATTGATTTTTTAAAATAAAATATCAATTTCAAATTAATTTATATAGAATAATAAGCAGTCTCCATCGCGAGCTTATATTGTTACAGGGAACAAATAATTTTTTACCATAATAACAATAAAAGGGGCATATTATATGAATATTTTAATTATTTTTAATTTTATTTTTTCTATATATTAAATATTCTAATTATTTTTTATTTTATTTTTTCTTTTGCGTATAGTTTATTCGAACAAGAAATTATGTCATACATCCCCGGTAATGTTGGAAGATCTCCTTTAAATAGTCCACATGCATCGCCAGGCTTAACTAGAGCATCCGCGAGGGCTCCGGCTCCATACAGAAGAGATTTTGAAGCAAAATTAAGAACTTTCTACAGGAAGCTCGAGAGCAAAGGATATGGCCAAGGTCCCGGAAAATTAAAGTAAATACAAATAAACTTATTATATGCTATTTAAGAAATGCAGTGTTAACTATCCGTATTACCAGGCAAACTTCATTTTATTTTTACTTGTAAATGGCTTTTAAAATTATTATACAAACGACGTAACAGATTTGTACGATTGATTGATTTTACGATTATAAATATGTTTTATACGTTGTATACATTGATACAAATTTAGCTTACTAGTAAATAATTTATTAGTATAAATTTATATAAAAATAAAAAAATCCTTCCAGGCTTCATATTCGACGAGAACATTTATTAGAAGATGCATTTACTCATATAATGGCCGTTTCGAAAAAAGATTTGCAAAAAGGCAAACTTGTCGTGATATTTGATCGAGAAGAAGGTCTAGATTATGGCGGTCCATCGCGTGAGTTTTTTTTTCATCTCTCTCGAGAACTCTTTAATCCTTATTACGGCCTTTTTGAGTATTCAGCGAACGATACTTACACCGTACAAGTTTCTCCAATGTCTGCTTTCGTTGACAATTACCACGATTGGTTCAGATTTTCGGGACGCGTTTTGGGTCTCGCCCTTGTCCATCAGTACCTTTTGGATGTTTTTTTCACAAGGCCGTTTTATAAAGCATTACTGCGTATCGCAGCAAGTTTGAGCGATTTGGAAAGCTTAGATCAAGAGTTTCATCAAAGCTTGATGTGGATCAAGGAAAAGGATATTAGTATCGAGCCACTTGAACTCACATTCTCCGTTACCGAGGAATTATTAGGTTTGTTTAATTAATTTATTGCTATGAAATTATTTTTTGTACGCATATGTAAAATCATTTTATTTCTTAAAATAAGTTCGCGTTTAAGTCATCGAGTTGAAATATTTTACTTATTCCAAGTTATGAAGACATTTTGAAATTTGAAAAGAGCAATTGATTATTTACTCAATAAATAACGTTAATAATCTTCTCTAATTTCTAATATAATTACTCATTGATAAAATATGCATGTAAATAATATAATGTTTACATTATGCTTGAATAATTTGAAAATCATGAATACCTTAAAAACTAATCGCTAATCTATTATTCAATCTTCTTTTCTTTAAAAAAAAAAAAAAACTATTATTGCATTTCTTTTAAAAAGTGAATACGTAGATAAATATTTGTTCAAGAACTCTTAAAGCAAATTATAATGAATGATAGCTAGAGTACTATAATCTTAAAAAGCACAAGCCCTAGAATTATTTTAGTTACATATAAAGAAACTAAAGCTTTAAAACCCAAATCAAAAGGCAGCAGTCCAAATAAATGCTTCACACATGATTTGCTGATATAAATATAAAAGTTGACGCGCAATGATTACGAAGGATACTTACGCTAAGTAAAGTTACAAAATCGTATATTCATAATTAATTTTTATCTACTATGTTCTATGTAAGCATCCATTTGGCTCATAATGAGTTCTATCTCTTTAATATCTACCTACGTTTATTGTTGCAGGTCGAGTTGCCGAAAGAGAGCTGAAGCCGGGTGGCAGGAACATCTCCGTAACGGAAAAGAACAAGAAGGAGTACCTCGAGCGGATACTCAGATGGCGTCTGGAGCGCGGTGTCGCCGAACAAACGGAGTCTCTCGTACGAGGATTCTACGAGGTCGTCGATCCCCGTTTAGTATCCGTCTTCGATGCGCGGGAACTGGAACTCGTGATCGCGGGGGCGGCAGAGATCGACTTAAACGACTGGCGCGCGCACACCGAGTACCGGAGCGGTTATCACGACGCCCATCCTGTCATAGAGTGGTTCTGGGGTAGTATCAGTCGATTTACTAACGAACAGAGGCTGAGACTACTGCAGTTTGTTACTGGCACATCGAGCATACCGTATGAGGGATTTGCCGCACTCAGGGGCTCTACCGGACCGCGCAAATTCTGTATTGAAAAATGGGGACGACCGAATAGTTTACCGAGGTACTTTTACAAATACGTCCTCTTATTAACGATTAGTAAGCATTTTCTCTATTTAATTTATTTTCAATGATTATACAACTATATATAAATAAATTCGAAAAAAAATATATGTATATATATATAATAATAATAATAAATGTAATGTAATATAATATAGAGATAATAAATATATTATATTTAGGTGAAATATGGTATAAATTTATCCATTGCAAAACATTTCAAAGATTTGCTGTATTTAATTTTTCATTGAATAATTAAATTTGCGTATTAATAATTTGTATTAAATTAAACAATTACAAACTTGTGTTGGAAAATATACATTTATGCAATATGAATAAGTTATATTTTACTTGTTTATTGATACGTTCAAGCCAAGAAGTTGCTTGTTTAACAATTTTTTTTATTCTTTTTTTTTTTTATACTGTTCGCGTTTGTAGAGTCATTTTTAAAAATTTTTTTAAAAATAATAATTAAATTAAACAAGATGAATAACATTATATTCAATATTATATAAGTAAAATTTAAATCGACTTATTTATTATATAATATTGCATCTGAGTACTATATAATATTCTTTATTTGCCTTGATTTAGATTTAAAACGAGATTTAGAACTAAAATGAGAATTAAAATGAAAATTAAAATTAAAACGAGTGAATTTTCATTTAAATTTTATACGAAAAAAATCCGATTAACTTTCATATAATTTGTAAGACAAATTTTAAAAATTTAAAATGAACTAAAATATATTTTTTTGCAGAGCACATACATGTTTTAATCGCTTAGATCTACCACCATATCCAACGCCGGAAATTCTATACGAAAAACTGCTGTTGGCAGTAGAAGAAACGAATACATTTGGAATAGAATAAGTTACGGTAGTTTCCAAAAATTTTTTGAGAATAAAGTTTATTAAGGATAATCAAAAAGTTATGTATACAGTAAGATTTAAAAATTTTTCGATTATATTACGTGATAAATTGAACTATAGCATTGGCATTTAATTGCTTTATTTGTTTATTTACTTAATAATAATATATAAATCCGATTGTCTGGTAAGTAAAAATAAAACGAATGGAAGGTTTGTTAAATGTATGTGCTGGGCGTTAAATAAGAATATTAATGTTGCTAACTCTCCAAATATAGTTACATTAATCATCGTAATTTGTATGTTTGTTTTGTTGTAAATGTTCAAAATGTTGAAAAGAATTTGAAGAGAAAAAAACATATTTTGACGATTATATTGACATTGCTTAATGAACAAAAAATGTAGCAATGATAATAGAATGCAGAATGTATATTAATAAAGAATTTGCAGGGATAAATGATAGAAAATGTACATCGAATGAATTCGATTATAAAAAGTTGAGAATTGTTGCTTAGAATTTTAAATACAGATTTAGGAAAATTTTACTAATTTTGGCGCATTTATAATTACGTACGTAAACTTATACATTCAGTCCTCAAATCTAGTCATCTAAACATAATGAATCTCTATGATCTAATATATTATTGTATATGTGAGTGGTTGAACAAAAACAACATATTTTCAAAATTAAAAGCTTGATAATGATTAGTTTTATTTTTATCATTAGTTCTATATATCTTAACAGATATTAAAGTCATACTAAATTAATAGCTGGGTCATATAAGACTGATTTATGTTTTTAAATTATTTTATTTTAAACGCGTGTATAATTAAGTATAAAGTAATTAATCTATATTGTAATATATGTTACTATTTTATTTAGAAATATATATTGATTACAATCGTTTTGATCATTGTTCATCTAATATTTAATTATAAATTATTTTAATTATGAATTATTTATAAATTTATAAATATTTTAATTTATGATACATATATAGTTAATAATTATACAATTAATTTATATCATAAATGTATGGCTATTTAAATCAATACTGGAATAGTAATTATAAAAACATGCATTTTATATTAAGTGCAAATTAATATGTTTTTGTGCCCAACCAAATGTGAAAATTGTTAATTTTGTGCAATCATTCATATATTATCTATTAAGCGTGATTATGCGCCTGTTATTTATAATAGTTAAAATAATACATTATTATAGTTAATGTATAATGGTGTTAGAAGCCACCTTTTTCTTGTTATTAAGAAAATAAATAATGCTTTTTGTTACATTATAAAATGATTTTTTATTTGTTTGTAATTTTAAAACCTACTGGACCTAAAGTTTAAAATATACATTTTAATATGTTTTTATTTATTACATTATTACTAATGTTTATAATTTTAAATATGTGAATAATTTAAATAGATCGTTGACTTTGATAATTGAAACAAAAACAAAAAAAAAATTTGCAAATTTTTTAATCATATTAATGTTTATAAGTAGAAATTGGTAATTTATACATGTGAAAGAAAACTTAAAAAATACATAGTATAAATAATTCATTTTCAACAAGATTAAAGGATAAATGTAATAGTATACATTATATAATTATAATATTGTTATAAATTATAGTTTTGCTTATAGATTATATTTTATATTATATTTTACCATTTACAGAAATTATAAAATACTTTAGGAAAACATCAGTCATTTTTTAAAAATTACTTAGCCAAATAGATTTATACATTGATGTATATTTTATAAATACTTGAATAAACTATTTTTTGTGTAAGTTTTATAAATACAAAATATGACAAATAGTATTATAATATATATTAATAATACAAGTACTAGTTATATAATATAATAAAAAATAATAAAATATTTTTCGAAAAATGAAGTGCAATAATGAAATTACTGTTTTATTATTAATATAATGTTATTATGTAAGATCGCCATAATAAAGTATCTCGTATCGCATCCAAAAGTACTTATTTTATAAATGAACATACAACAATTGTTTAATGGGCAAGAGCGATTTTAATTCATAAAGCTTATACTATGAATATGAAAAATCGCCTCGAAATTTCAAATGAATACAAAATTTTTCGTAGATAACTGCTCTTATATGAAAAGAAATGTTTCTCTAATAAATTATTAAAATACTTTTTTTAATTAATAATTTTAAATGAATGAACGTGAAGAACAATTTGATGAAATATGAAATCACGATGGAAATAAATCGTATTAATTGTATAATAATTGTAGATAAGGAAAAAGTGTTTAATATTTAAGTTTTATGATTTAGGAGTATGAGTAGCCATGCATGTTGTCAATTCCCAACAATATTTTCCAAATACGGAATTAAGGCGGTGCATTGCGTATGCGTTTTGTATGCATAAATGGACAAGTAGCGCCCTCTACCCTACATGACTAGAAGGCACATACGATTGTGCCAAAGTAAGTTTTATCAGCATATGCGATATGCAGTGTAATAATAATCTTTGTTGAATTTTAGACTGTCAATACGTCAATGCGTTTCTGTGCTTGACAGATCAATGTGTAAGTGGGTTACAGTCTTAAGGTGTGAAGAAAAGCATTTAATTTTATTTCAAATACAGAGTATGCGTATACATTACTTTATTTACTGTTGCTTTGTGACATTTATAAATCGTATGCACAATTACAGGATATAACTATAGAATAACAATCACCGCTGTCAGTTTTGAGAGTTGCGAGAGCTTGTTTTAATCTTCAGATCTCCCATGTTGAAAGGTTGTAAAGAAAATTAAGGCTATGCCGGCGACGCCCTTCGCAATTTAGTCATACCGGACGTCGGAAGCAAGTCCGCTTCAAAGCAGAAATAGTTGTAACGTCCAGGATAAAAGTCGCTTGATTGTAATAATAAAAAGAGTGGAATACGATGGACAACAAAGGCAGAAAAGTCATCGTCTGCGATAATGGAACAGGGGTGAGGTTATATTGTGTGTTGCGTATGTCTTCTATATACTACGTTAATTGATTCGCGCCTACTCGAAGGATGAAATCAATGGATTATTATATTATCCTTAGTTTATATTACATTTGTATCAAATATTAAGTTACGATTATTTTAGTCATTTCTTTCCCAGAGCCCATTGAGCCCTATAGGTAATACTTAATATTTTAATTAATTTTAAGTCTAATGTTAATTTATACGCACTTTACGTAATTCTGATTAAGTATAACAATAAGGGTTTAAAATCTTTATCTTGAAAAATATATCTCGATATCATTTTATCAGTAGTCTATTCATTATTTCTAGAATATGCGTAAGTTTATTGTAAAAATTCTAATACATAATAATTGTAGTCTTCGATACTTTTACAAATATTCATAGAATTCCTCATTAAAACTAATGTATTAAAAATTTGTTTGCAATAAATTGTTTGTAAAATGTAATTTATGATGTATCGGCTATGTATTTTTATTGAAAACTATCTATTATACTTGGTTAATTTAATTGATATTTCAAATACTACATAATTCTTATAAAAGAATTTTAAAAATATATATTTTTCAAGATTAAAAAATGTATAGATTTTTTCATCAAATCGTTTGATTTTAGTTTATCAAGTGTGGCTACGCAGGAGCCAATTTTCCAGCACACATATTTCCATCTATAGTAGGACGACCCATCATCCGTGCCGCCAATAAAATTGGAGACATCGAAGTCAAGGTAAAGTATTTATTTCTTATAAAATAGATCGACAAATCAAAGCAAGTACTCTCCAACTTGTTTTGTCAAAAGACTATGTCTCAAAAGTTATAAATTTGGGTGTACTCTGAGTTCCAGAATATATATATAAAAACAATCTAATTACCGTGTTCTACATATTTTCAGCAAGAATTTTGTGTTCGTGTAAGTCGATTTCTGGAGTCACACGCGACGTCACACACTGATCAGAACTCGGTTATTCAAAAATTTAGCGATGCACCCTCGCACGCTTGCAAGTTAGCAAAAAGAGAGTGAGATAACGATCTGTCAAAAGTTTCCCCCTTTTCTTCGTGGCATTATATTTTTATAAGCTAGTTTATTCTTATGCATTTAGTAGATTAAAAAGCAAAATGACTTATTCACTAGGAGAACTAACACAACCTTTTCAAGCGAATAATACTGCCACAATTTCCTTGTAAGTTTTCATTTTGAGCGTGTTTAATAATAATAATAATGATTTTTGTATGTTGCGTGCTTGCCTTTGCCTCTGCTAGGATGTGCTTGAGATGCCTGTAAGTCTAAAATGCACTTATTGTCATTGATAGTAGATTTCATATAATAAAATTAAACTTAAAGAAATTTAAAATCAGTTAGTTTTGATATAGACTGTTGTTCTTCAGTGTTTATGTTGTGAAATTAAATAATAGAGTCATCGTACTCATTTTTTTCTAAGCGAGATAATCGTCTCAAAACTTTTTCACAGGACCTCATGGTTGGTGAAGAAGCTAGTAAATTACGATCAATGCTAGAGATTAGTTATCCAATGCAAAATGGTATTGTTAGGTATGAATTTACTACTATTATAAATTAAAAATAAATCAATTGCTTATAAAAACTTGGTAAGTAATTTGAATGACTTGTTATTACAGGAACTGGGAAGATATGTGTCATGTGTGGGATTATACTTTTGGACCAGAAAAGATGAACATTGATCCACGAGAATGTAAAATATTGTTAACAGAGCCACCGATGAACCCAATAACAAATAGAGAAAAAATGATAGAAGTATGAAATATTTTTTATAATGAATTATTTCTTCAAATATTTGAAATTTGAAATATATAATTTGCTTGAAGCAACGATAAATTTATTATATAAATATACTTTAGCTTTCTATTGATTTTAATTTATATTATAGGTAATGTTTGAAAAGTATCAATTTTCTGGAACGCATATTGCAATTCAAGCTGTACTAACACTGTATGCTCAGGGTTTGATTAGTGGTGTCGTTGTTGATTCTGGCGATGGTGTAACTCATATATGTCCAGTATATGAAGAATATGCTTTACCACATCTCACTCGAAGGTTAGATATTGCTGGACGTGATATAACTATGTACCTCATTAAGCTGCTACTGCAACGTGGTTATGCATTTAATCATTCAGCAGACTTTGAAACTGTAAGAATGATAAAGGAAAAATTATGCTATATTGGATATGATATTGAAACAGAGGAAAAATTAGCAGTTGAAACAACTGTTTTAGTAGAATCGTATACAGTAAGCAAAATCATTTTATTCATTTTATTTTCAGAAACAACTAATTAATAAATGTTTTATAACGTTGATCATTAATTGAAATAATTTATCTACTTGAAATTTTGACAAAAATATTTCTTTCTCAGTTACCAGATGGTCGAGTAATCAAAGTAGGAGGTGAAAGATTTGCTGCTCCTGAAGCTCTGTTTCAGCCACATTTGATCAATGTCGAAGCTCAAGGCATTGCCGAATTAGTATTTAATACAATTCAGTCAGCTGATATTGATATGCGGAGCGAATTATACAAACACATTGTACTTAGCGGTGGTAGTACTATGTATCCCGGCCTGCCTTCAAGACTTGAACGAGAAATTAAGCAACTTTATTTACAAAGAGTTTTAAAAAATGATACTACAAAGTTAAATGTAAGTTAAATATGTTTCTTAGTTATAATCTTTACTTTTAGAAATTGCTTAAACATATAATATCTTGATATTTTTTTACTAATTATAGTCAGTATCGATAGATATTTAGTTCCATTATGATGTAAATATGTTTTATATTTTATTTTATGTTATATGAATAGTTCAATTGAACTAAAAATAATAAATGATTCATAGTATTTGAAATTAATATTTAAAATACTATTGTATCCATACGCTTAAATGTTACTTTTAATTCAATTAATTGAAATACATTAAATTTAATTATTATATTTTGTAAGAAATTTGATAAATTTAGAAAATTGTATAGTAATTTTTTTATACTTTAAACTTTCTCAGAGTGTTCTATTTGATTAAATATCTACAAAAATCTAAAGTATTATTTATAATTTATTATTCATAATAACTATTATAAGCATTATTTATAATTTTATAATTTATTATTTTTAATTAAAATAAACAATTTAAAAATCTTGATGGGTAAATAAATATACGTACATATCTATTGCTTTATTATCTAGAAATTCAAAATTAAAATCGAGGACTCGCCTAGAAGAAAAGACGTGGTATTTATTGGTGGAGCTGTGTTAGCCGATATAATCAAAGATCGAAATAATGTTTGGATAATGCGTGAAGAGTACGAAGAGAAGGGACTGAATGTAATGAAAAAATTAGGATCGCGTAATGCCTGAGAGTAAATGTTTTATTTTTTCAAGAAATGCATTTACTAGTACTTAGGAAAATAAACACTAAGTTATCAGAAAGTTACAAATGACAAAGAATGAGTCGGTGCAAGTCTAATATTGAATGTGTATTAATGCGTGCGTAAACAAGTATGATGCAAATAAACTAATTAATATGGACCCGTTCAAGGTACAGCAATTAAAAGAATAGTTCTTTGTTATTTCAGTGTCGGTGTCAAATGCAAATGTTAAGTCGATGTTTACGTCGATTTCAAGGGATATATCATTCATATCTCTAACAAATTTCTTTAACAATTACTATTGTAAATATTAACTCTTTTACGAAAAATAATATTAAAGTTATATAGTAATGTAATCTTGTCATTAATATGATTATTCCTAATTTTTCATTATTAATTCTTGATTTATTTTAATTCGAATTAAAAGATATTAATTTGAGTGTGTAATCACACAGATAGAATTCTTAATGTTTTAAACAGCAATATAATTTTTAAATATTTTTAATAAATGTGATTTTTAATAAATATAATATAAAGTTACTTAATAATATTAAAGCAAATTGAATTTTTATTTTAATAAATAAAGCTATTCGTTTATAAATAACTAAGTATTGCTATATTGAAGTTGGATATATAAGAATGAGTTTTATATGAAGTACAATAAATAAAAGCTAAATATTAACTTTCTAAAATAAAAAGGAGTATATATTAAAATTACAGTATGCTACTAAATGATCCGAAATTATCTAAATATTTTTTAGATGGATTTATACTATAGTTGATGATGCTATATAATTTAAAATTTGTGTAGTATGTATATACAATAATTGTAAACACATGCGATTCGTATTATATTTACAGATTAATTTTTGTTTTATCATATTATTAACGCTCGTAACATTGTAATAATTACAATAATATAAATTTTTTAAAAATACGATTTTAAATTTATGTGACAATTTGATTTTTAATCAAATAAAAAAATATTTTGATTATTTTTTTGTTAATTATATTAAATTTTTTATCTAGACATATGATTTCTATAAGAAGAAAAATTTAAAACAATATAAAGCAATTGTTTTGTAATTATTTATAAATTTTAATACAATTAAAAGATTTACATACATTATTATATATCTTAGTTTTTATCAGAAGAAGAAATAGTACATTAATAATTATATTATGTAGAAAATAACTACTACATTAAACTTACTACATTAAATAAAAAATTTGATGCATTTTTATGTCGAATGAGAATTCAAGTTCATAAAAATGAGCTTTCAAGCTTATTATCTAATTTTGTATACAGTCGTTTTTACTGAAAAATTGCACTGAGCATATAGATACTACTAATGAAGTCACTTTTTCTAATAAATGAAAAATTTATTCGATGATACATAATATAATATAATTAATCGTTCGACTTTAATGCGAGCTTAATGTCAAGCTGCATGCTCAATATATTGGCTGTTCAACAAATGAAATGTGTGATGACGTCATTACGCAGTCGCAATGAAAGTTACCATCTTTAGTGTTGTAATACATACTGGTTGGTTTTATTTAGAATAATGTTCTTATCGGTGTCCGGGTGTTTTACGTAAAATTCGTATACATGAATGAAGGGAATTGCAATCATCAACGCTAATGCACGCGAATATACAGTTGAAACACGCAACCGATACCAAATGCCATTAATCGAAGATCTATCAGAAAAATAATTCGAATTTTCGTTTTTCATCCACTACAAAGATGCCAATGATATTCGACACGAAAGCCGATAGACCGTAAGACTTTGCTTTATCTACCTCGCATTGGTCCTTTAGTTATTGATAAATGTATTCCAGTATAATATGCATAATGTATAATGTTCTTTTACAATATATTAATTTTTTTTAAATGTCAGGTAACACGTACATTATAAATAAAATTTTATAAAAATAAAATAAAAAAATTAATATCCTATTTATGTGAACTAATGTAGAACAAGATCATCTGAGTACGAGTCATTCGAAAATTTAAAAGTAGTTAATTCAAGAATATAAAAGTTCAGTTACGTAAATGCAGTCAGCACTAATGCACCTTTGTAAGCTAAAATTTTATTTGTAGGCTTGGCGATATATAGTAATTTACTGATGAACCATTATAGTAAAATAATCGGCGAATGATTATAAACTTTTTATTATAGATCTAGCAGTTTTATTAATAACATTTTTTATTAAAAATGATCGTAGATATGATATACAAATGAATCATCAATAATTGCAGAAGAAATTAATGAATAGTTTGGCAAAAGTTCAAAATTAGTTCGGAGTAGTCAGCTGATAGATATAGAATAGTAAACAGCCTTAAAATGTAAATGCACATCTGTTTTTTTACTGAAATTTATCATAATTCATATAAAATACAATTCACATTGAAATAAGCAAAGAATGTTAAAGTTATGTTTATTCAAGAAATATTTAATTATATTGTTTATTGTGATATTATCTATAAAAGTTAGGAATTGAATAAAAATTTAATTCTAAAAATGTTGAAAACGGACTATAAATAAATAAATTTATAAAAATTTAAACCTATAAATAACACAAAAATGTTTTTAAATGTATCAAAGCTCAAAATAAATATTACGATCAATAATATATTATAAGCGACATATTTATAGATTTAACCTACAGTATTTCATTCAAATAGTATTCCTAAAATTCGGTTAGATTCCTCGTCGTAAGACTAAGACTCATTTTTCACTCACAACTAGTAATATTAAAAATGATAAAAGGTAGGTAAAACTATTATTAAAACTTGTTATTTATATATTTTACGAATAATTTATACATTTTTTTAATAATAGTCAACTTATTTTTTATAAATTATTTAATATTATTAAATATTATTAAAACTTATTTAATATTATTAAAATTATTTCATATTACAATTTTGATTTGTTATTGCAATTTTTGCATTAATATCAGTAGTTTTAATAATATTTGTTTGTCTTGTTTATTATTTTTTATGGATATATTTAGTTTTAAATTTCCAAGTAATGATTTATTCAATTATTGAGTTTTATAAAACTTAAAAAAAAAAGAAGGTAATAATTCGTTGTTGTTTATGTTTATACTTTAATCTGAATAAATGATTTGAATTTAGTAAATTATGCTTCAATCATTATCCTTCACGCGAATTATAGCTTCAAATGTGCATAAGATTTTGTCCTGTGGGAATTCAGAATATTAAGACGTCGTTTATGTCAATTTTGGAATGGGATCTTTAATAATATAAATTTGTAAATTAATATTTTCAATGGTGCCATTATATTACGAGATATAACATACAAAATTCAGTTTAAGCTTATGGAAATTTTAAATATATTTCATACAAAATGTGTTATTTTTATTAAAATTATTTTGTAGAAATGAGTTGCTTTGTACTACGTTAAATGAAGTTTTTAAAAAAGTTGATCCAAAATTTAAATGTTCTTTTACATTAATTTTTATTATAGAGTAATCCGAGATTGTTTTATGATTTGTTTAAATTTCTATTTATTTATAAGAATAATGTCATTTCAATAAATTAATAATGTCACATATAAAATAATTTTTTATTTTTTGTTTTGTTTTATTGTTGATTCGCAATAGTTAAGTGTTGTTTTATGTCAAATAACATTATTATTGCGTTACTATAGTTATAGAAAATTATGTTCTCGTTTGTTTTAGTAGTAGTGTCAAATAGAAGCTATAACTAAATATAGCTGCAATCTTCTTTTCGGTCACTATATTAAGACATGTATGAAGGCCTTCTAATCGTATGATTAATATTAGTCTCTTATTAAATAAGATAATTATTTTGTTTCACATTTAATTAAATGTCCAAGATAGAAGGAGTAGTTGACTCATTGAAAAACATCTAATACTTGCGCAAATTCTACACGTTCAAGAGATATTTAATATTAAACAAATTTTATAGATACTTTTAATTTAGTTTAATATTATTTTTCAAATATAAATAAGTTATCTTCAAATTATTTTATGAGTACTTTAATTTATTAGAACGTTTAGCTACGTAATTTAAACAACAAAGCATAAACAACTTAGTGTACATTAAATGAATAACATAACAAAAAGATTTATGTATATATATATAATAAAATGGTCATTATGTATTTCCAATTACATTTAACATATTTTATACTCGTAATATTTATACTTAATAATTTTTTAAAAACATTTTTGGTCGAATTATGTCGATACTTAATTTTTTTTTTTTCATCAACAATTAACATCGCAAAACATTAGGACCTACCATATAAATCTCATAAAACATATGGTTTTTTTCAATTAGTATATGAATTGTATGATTAGTGATTCTATAATTAATTGTAAAAATGTTAAGTATCGGTAAGAATTTCAAATATACATGGTTATCAAACTTCATTAAAATGAATGCTTAAATAGTTAAAAGGAAAATACTGTTTTACCTCCCTGTCTCTTTCACTCTGTAAATGAGATCATTTTTTACTCCCACAATGGAATTTCAGACCAGGAGTGGAATTCGTATTCGCGGCAGTGTCGGGAGTAGGAGCTGGTTTCTTCACAAACCCCATCGACGTCGTCAAGATCCGGCTGCAGCTCCAAGGTGAACTGGAGGCTCGCGGTTCTTATCGCAAGGTCTATCACAACACCTTCCACGCGGCATACTTAATCGCCCGGCACGAGGGTCTTTTCGCTTTACAATCGGGGATCGTGCCGGCTTTAGGTTTTCAGGTTTTTCTCAATGGCACACGCCTTGGGTCTTATCACTGCGCCAAACGATATGGTATCATACTCAATGATAAAGGCGAGACAAGCATTGGCAAGACTGCCCTCGTATCCGGTGTAGCTGGAATAAGTGGAGCTATTGCCGGAAGCCCATTTTATTTGGTAAGGGCTTGAGAACCTATGACAAAAATCTGGCTATTGGCATCCTTGCTACCTCTTAATCAAAGCTTTTGTTCTTCCTACGTTTTTTTTACAATAATACAACACATTGCTTTTAACTGTGTTTATTCATTTAATTTTTACGCCCTTTATTACAAAGTAATGGTAATATTATTAATGAGATATTATTAAAATTAACAAAATATTAATAAAATACATATTTCATTTTTTTTATATCTATAGATAAAATTATTTAAAAAAAAAAAATTTTTTAACGAATCTATAGCGAAGCATTTAATCTTTAAAGAACTCGATGAAATAAGTTCACTACATAAATAGATCATGTTAAATAAATCTTGGTTATAAAAATTGATTTATCAGTTTTTATTTTTCTCTAATATACAATAAAGAAAAATTCGTATGGTTTTGTAGCTATGTGAATTTGTAGTTTTATATTTTATTAGATAGTAATATTTATATATGCTTATAACACTATTTGGACTAATAATTAAAATAATATAACGCATTCTTATAGACTGTATAATAATTCATTAAAACAAGCTTGTTCTATTAATTATAGAAAATCGACATCGCATTTATATAATTTTCGAATGTATCCTATACGATGATAATCTTACTTTATTAAATGTCCAAACCTCGTCATTGATTTAAAAAAAAAAAAAAAAAAAAAAAAAAAAAAAAAAAAAAAAAAGTCGAAACTCATAAATGGTAAGTATATTCAGGAATTAATTATTTTTAGGTAAAAACGCAATTGCAATCGCAGTCAGCAAAGAGTATTGCCGTCGGTTTTCAGCATCATCATACGGGAGCCTTAGACGCGTTCAGGTACATTTGGAAGAAGGGCGGCTTTTTTGGTCTGTATCAGGGTTGGTATGCAAATGTTCCGAAAACCTTCATTGGCTCTGCGACACAACTCACAGTCTTCGGTCTTGTTGTTGATTCTCTAAAATCTCTTGAGGTACACGAGCCACGATGAACTTTGCATTAAAGTTAACCAATTGATTAATGTGTATGATGATAGCTAATAAATGTGCCTTGTTTTATCGTTTTAATGTTCTATATAAACCTTTGGCTCATTCATTCATTCATAAGAAATGTATATGACTGTGGTAATTACAAATGTATTAATATGAATTATAATTATTCCTTTGTCATTGTAAACTTGTATTTTTTTATCTTACGTTTGATAAACATTTATCGTAATAATTTATATGTTACACATAGTTTTAAACACGCTATCAACTTCTTTATTAAAGCAAATGCTCATGTATTCTATTAATTATGACAAATACAATTCAGTAATTTGTGTTTCATTTGATTTTGTTATAAATTTTATAATATACAACATTTAAACGTTTAGATATTGATTTGATATTAAAGAAATTTAAACATAAATTAATGTTTATAGCCATTCACTCATAAACCATTACTTTTAACATTTGTGGGATCACTTATCAGTGGATGTTGTTTGGCAGTGGTAATGCAACCGTTTGACGTTATATCCACAAGACTTTATAATCAAGGTAAAGCAAGTTTTATTGTCTACAAATCTTTATAAATTCAAACAACCAATTATTTTATAATAGTCATCTCAGTATCTAAATATTGAATAAAAGTAAATATTTAAAAATTAAAATAAATTTAACTTTACAATCTGTATTTATAGATGGTTGTTTTGGTAACGATTATATCTATATTGAATATGATGAAATATAAATAATACAATTTTTATTACTATAAAATAATGTTATTTTTGATTGCATATAAAATATGCGTTCTTTTTGCATCTACAAAAGGACATAAATAATTCATGTTGTTAAAACATATACCGTTTATAGTATTTATTAATGGTATCGATTGTTTAAAATAAATGTTACTTATTATTCATAATAAATTAATGGCAAAGTCATATTTATGTTAATTCATTTATTCTTGCCTAAATTTTGTATACGTTACCTTAATCTTTAAAATTTCAATTTCAATTAGGATTGTATGAAAGTAAATTCTTTTGGCAACTTATCTAAAGAATTAAATATCAAATAGCTTGACAAGTATTTAAATTTATTTTAGGTACCGATGTGAAAGGAAAAGGTGTATACTATAATGGTTTATTCGACGCATTGTATAAAGTATTTAAAATTGAAGGCTTTTTTGGCCTTTACAAAGGAATTTTTCCTACTTTATTGAGAAGTGCGCCCCATGTAATTCTCTGTCAAATTTTTTATGAAAATCTCGCGCAATTATATGACGAGTATTATTAAAATATTAATTTCATAATTAATGGAAAAATTGTGATTCTTTGCGAAGAAATTCTTATTTAAAAAAATTATATTGAAATTTCATTTGTATATTCAAATTCAATACTCAGATTTCAAATTAACTGTTTATATATATATAAATATATATATATATATATATATATATATATTCACGATATCTTTAAAGTTATCTATATTTTTTTTTTAAATCTTTCAATAAGTAATAAGTACAGAAAATAAATTGAAATTTAACTTAAATATATTTTGATACTGATAGAAATAATAATTATTAAATTATGTCATAAATCATAGAATTGTTAAGATGCCAACAATACAATTAATTTTAACGTTAATATAAGTATTTTTTTGCATAATAATTAAATTTGAAGAACGCTAGTGGTATTTTCTTTACATAATACTTGTTAAATATAGAAATAATTTATTCTCTGCAATGAATATTGTGACTTATATTTTATAATGACCATATTATAATTTACATAAAAATTTTCTAAAAATAATTATATTTGTATGTTCGTTTTGAATTTTTATTTTAAAATGTATTCGTTTCAATTTATATTCTTCTTAGAGAATTTATTGGTTTGTCTGATATTAGAAGTGTAAATATTACAAATACACTGCTTTATCAAAACCTGCTTATTATTATTTTATTTTGAATAGATTTTCAATACTTTAGATATCTATTGTCAATACAAAAATTAATATGCAATTTGTAAATATTGCTATTCTATCGCTTAATACATTAAATACTATATAGGTACATTTAAAAATTTAAGAATTTATATTTCTATAATAGAAAAATTAATATTTTTAATGTGATATATAATATATTAAATTATTATGATATTAGATTATTATAAAGGTATTTCAAATGAGTGATAGATTAGTAAAATAATAAAACAATTAATTATGAATAAAAAGTAATATATTCGTACTTTATTTTCAAATGGTTTAGTTTTTTATGAGATTAGAGAAGTAATTTTATAATTCTTGTTATATGTCTGCTTTTTATTAAAATACTTCAATAAAAAAAAAAAAAATCTTAAAATTTTTTTTATTCATTTATTTACATTATATTTAGATGATCACCGTGCTATGCATAATTTCTTATTATAAAATTTATTTAAAAAATATTTAATATTGATACATTAATTAAAGTTAAGTTTTAAGTAAGTATTCTCTGTATAAATCGATTTACAATTGAATAATTTAATTTAAATATTCTATTTTAACACGACCACTTTTATCTTATTTCATTCATTTATTTATCAACGGACGCTCATAATTATAATATACTTTATACATTAAATATGTATTGATATATTTTGATTTATTGAGATAATGAAAATAAATTTATATTTATAAAAAACTAATTATGATTATTGTATTTCTTGCTTTATCTTTTGTATAATTTTCCTTTTTTTTTTTAGTTTGTATCATATTATTTTTATTAGATAATAATTTTTGTTAATTTTAATTCATGTCGAATATTAGAAATTGTCAATTATGCACTTGTCCGATGATACATAATTATTTATATTATTAATTTAAAATAAAAATTGATATAATAGAGTTATAAAGTATTTATAAAATTGTGAAAGAAAATTAATAAAAGATAAAAAAGCATATATTTTGTAAAAAAAAAAGTTAATAAATCACATTACGCTGACGTAATAATTAAATAAAAACAGCAAAGCTTCGATTTTGGCGCATATTCGATTTTTTCTAAACATCTAAACACAAATTAGATATAATTATGTGTATATAAATATTCGAAATAATACATATGATTCAATAATTCATTAGTTGAAGTTAATGCAATTTTTTAGATTATTTATATATAAATTGTATATTGCATATGCATATGGATACACATACTTATAAAATTGGTTTACTACAATTTTTTTTCAAATTTATATTTACTATTAGTTAATAAAAAATTTGTAGGTAATTAAAAAAAATTGTTCATTAGAAATGCCATAGATTGTTGGAAAAGTTGTATAAAATAAAAACAACATAGTAATTGAATTTATAGTAGGGAAAATCTTACGATTATATATTAAAAATATTTATGAAAAATAAGCAAAGGTTAAAGTAGATTTAATGTTATATATTTTGTGATTCATAAAACTTTTTTGAATTCACAATTCATTAGGTATAACTCTATAATCATCGATTATTGCTAACTAAAGTTTAAATGATGAAAAATTTCTCCCTCTATATTCACTATTATCGATCCTTATCGTGTATTAGCATAAAAATAGGAATGACCAAATGAACATAATCTATAATTTTTTCAATTCTTATATAAATAAAGCTAGAATAAAGCACAAATATGTTGCGCAGATTGGAATGATATTCATTTTACAAAAATCGCGTTTTCATATACTAGGAATGTCTTTGGATAATATTTGTAAATTAAATTTCTATTGACTTAAGGAAAACTAAGCGGTAATTCATCGCTATATAAAAAAAAGTTGTACAATGTAGTATAAAAATTGCAATCAACGTTTATTGCATTATGTAGCAATTTAAATGCTTGTAAAGCAAACATTAATTATCAGATATATATATATATACTTAATGTCTACTTTATCAATATCATACTTTATCTTACTATTTTATTTATATTCTAATCATCATAACAATTTTACAAATAAATGCATAATAAGTGTATTATCAATACTTTCAGTTATTATTAAAGCGTTTAGCATAATAGAAAATAGAATTTTATTATTTTATTGTTTACTATTAAACATTTAGTTTAATTGAACAACAATGATCAATAATTTACTTATCAAATTTATTGTATCTGTATTTATAAATATGTAAGTTTTAACAATGATAGAAAGATTTTATTTATTTAATATTTTAAAGACGAATATTTAAAAACATAATTGTATAATAGAATATAACTGAATTTATCTTAAATCAAATATTCATTTCGAATTGTAAATAATTATCTCTTTTAAAAATTATATATGGATTATTAAATTCGTATTATATAAATTATCGTGTAATTTGGGTTAAAGAATGTGAAAACAAATAATTTTGTTGATATAAGAATAAATTATATTTTTTTTTACTAGACTCATAGATATTCCATTACATATTGATGCTTTGAAATTTATTTTAATATTTAATTTGATGCTCGTGAAATTCAGTAAAGTATGAATTTCTTTATTTTAAGTTTAAAATTATTTTTTAATTTAATTTCGATTTATAACTATAAGTTTTTTTTTTTTTTAAATTAATCTTGTATATGAACTTTTCGTAATTGAATTCTAACAATACATAATTTTATGAAAATATTATTTTAGTATATATATTTTTTGTAATCCATATTGGAAATATTCAGGCAATATTAAATGAATAAGAAAAAAATAAAATATTTTAATAGAACCTTTATTTTCGTAATTCTTAGTTTTAAGTTTAATGTAAATATGACTGTGGCGTATGCATTATCAGTTACACGTTTTGTTTTTAATAATTTTATTATAGAAAATGTAAAATGAAGTTCATTGAATGAAAACAAATTTTAGAACGATAATTTATTAAAAAAAAAAAATTGAATTATATATATAGTGAGTCATAACCGATAAGTGTAATTATAATACTCGATGACGTAGAAATTTCATCACATCTATTCGACAATATTGATAGACTGAAATCATATTTATGATGCAATAATGATAGAATTAAGAAACAAAAATAATTCAAGATATAAACATAAATATCTGGAAATTAACGGATCGATTTTAGTTTTACAGCAAAAATTAAAAATTTTACAATCTAACAACTTAGGTACAATTTTCTAGGAGTACGCACTTCATAAGAAACAGAAGAAAAAAATGATTGTCGCAACAGCGTGTTCGAATGGAGCGGAATGAAAGATGCGCGAATGAGACTTCAAGATGACTGAAAGATGCCGCCAGATGATGCCAGTCGTCATCACATTGTAAACAGTTTGCACGCGGCTTCGTTTTATGCTGGGGTTGGCCACTGGGCTGCTTAGTGTGCGTCAGTGTCGCTGTCGATGATAGACAGCGAAGGCCAAGATACACGAGGATAATGTCTGCAGTCTTACGAAAAGCATCGAAAAGTGTGACACGCGGCAACTTGTCCTCTAACGTTGTAATTCGTGTGCGCCAAACGCAAAGCCTTGCTTAAGAATAAGTGCTCTTAGCCCAAAGCACGTGATGACAAGTGATAAACCGTAAGTAAATCCTCTGATTCCCACGTGTTCATCTATAATTTCTTATTTAAATGTTGAATTCAATGCTTTTCTATTTCTTAATCGTTCAATCTCTTTCGCTACTCCTTTAACGTATAGTAGAGCAATGCCTCATGACGACGAATTACATAATGTGGAGAAAACTTTATGTCATGTGCTCATGCCGGATATTGACCTACTATATGTTCCGGATTCTTTTCAAATTCAAGGCTGCTTCGTGTTTTTTAAGCTCCGCTCACAATAGTATTTCAGCCTCTCTTAGTTTTACTTATTTAAGCTTAATATTTTAACAATAATTATACTAGTTTATTTATCAATTATATTTTTTCTTAAATTACTTCACGTATACTGGCGTATTAGGTATTTCGGTCATTTTTCAGTCGAAGGCAGAGTTGGAGTAAGAAAACTTATTTAAAAGTTTTGTTATTTATGATATATATATATATATATATATATATATATATATATATATATACATGGTATTTATCAAATACAAACATCATATTATTCTTCATTAAATTAATTTCAATATTTAATGTAATCAATACTAATGTAAAAATATATTAAATTACACGCAACTTGATTATTAATGCGAAAATTTCGATTGCAATTCGCTAGTACAGTAGAACTTTAAACGTGAGATATTCCCTATAATAGACAACGGCCTAGATCATTTTATAATTATCAGTATGGTTAATAACATTTCATAATAGATTTTTGAAAAATAATTTTTATTAATTTATTTTACCATTATGTCATAGCGATGCAATGAACATTGGAAGGTAATTGCAATTCAATAATTTTTTTAAATAATATTTTATTACTTTAGAAATAACAGAAAATTTACGAATATTCATAGTAGTTATTACATAATATACAATATATAACTTTATTAAATAATTTTCTTAATAATTAATAACATATATTTGCTATATATTGTATTAGCTTTACATAATATCCTAATTAAAATCTTCTATTACTGCGTTAAATTGTAAATAAATTAAATTCTAATAACAAATAATATAAACGATACAGTAGTCAATTTTAAATAATTCTTAAATATAAAATACATTTAATAAATTTATATATAATATAAATGATGAAATTGTTAGAAATTTATTGATTCGATACTGCGTAAAATAAATAAATCAAAATATCATCACAAATGTTGTTGATAAAATAATTTTTTTTCTTAAAAGTTATTCGAAATTTCATTATAATTTGTTAATTTAATTACAACGTTTAAAAGATAAATTATTGACTAATAATATTTTTATAGTGTCAATAAATTGTTGCTTTTAATGGAATAACAAAAATTAATATGAAAAAATAAATCATTCTAATATAATTGTCCAAATAGACACTGTTTTATGCATTATTTGAAAAACATATTTTATTGCACTCGATAAATTAATATATTTTATCATATTATAAAAATAATTGTATAGTAAATTAAAATATTTTTCTTTTGTTAATATTATTTATTTTAACAAGAAGCTAAATTTTATAATTAATTGTTAATAATTGATAAGTTTTTTATTTAATGTATTTAAAATTTTACTATTGATGGCCCGTTGTATGAAGAGACAATTGAAAAAAATACAATTGAAATGACTTAAATTAATTTTTTATGAAATTAGTTTCAACATGATTCGCATATTTAATAAACTCAAGTTATTAGAGGATTTTTATTGCAGCTTAACACTGTCATGATTATTTCTAATTCTATGATTAAATTTATTTTCAAACAAAGTACCATCATTCTTAACAAATAAATCAATACATTGGTAAAAACCAACAAGACAGTTCACAAACTTTTTTCTCATATGCTTTATGTATCCACATGTAAAGACATTATTAACACGTACATTGATACACGTTTTTAATAAATAATCCAATATTGTTGTTACATATAATTTTGAATTATTTAAAATTTTGGAAAATAACTATAATAATAAAAATTTCAAGATTATTCTAACACAATCTCCGACAGTGTTATATTTTAATTGTTTAAAAAGGTTATATTTTGTTTGAAACGCATTGATAATTATGATCAATTAGCGATGAAGTCATTATTATTATTATTATTATTATTATTTATCATTAAAAGCTTATGCTTTGAAAAACGTTTCCTAGTAGACCAGGCGCTGAATTCGTAATCGGAGCCGCTGCCGCCGTTGGTGCTGGTTTCTTCACAAACCCCATCGACGTCGTTAAGATCCGGCTGCAGCTCCAAGGTGAACTGGAGGCTCGGGGTTCTTATCGCAAGGTCTATCGCAACACCTTCCACGCGGCATACTTAATCGCCCGGCACGAGGGTCTTTTCGCTCTACAATCGGGGATCGTGCCGGCTTTAGGTTTTCAGGTGGTACTCAATGGTACGCGATTGGGTTCTTACAACTTGGCTAAAAGATATCAATTGACTTTAAATGACGATGGAGAAACGAATATCTTGAGAACTGTGTTAGTCTCAGGAGTCGCTGGCAGCATTGGTGCTATTATTGGAAGCCCTTTGTATTTGGTAAATTGAGATTGTTAGACATATATTTCTTTTAAATTATTATTTCATTTTAGTGGTTTAATTCGCACAAAGTTACGCACAAAGTTACGCACAAAGTTACGCACAAAAAAAGACGAAATAAATTAAAATGATAGAATTGATAGGATATAATTCTTCTTATAAAAATGGTAAATTGGTATTTAATGAACGTAATATTAAAATAAAATAACTTGCAATATAATACTTTAGACTTACAAATCATTAATCAGAATTATTATAGAATGCAGCTCCATACGCTTAATTAAATATATTACTAATTTCTTGTCCAAATTTTTTCTATTTAGTATAAATAATTATTTGAATGAAAAGTATTATTTATAGATTTTTAGACAATCTGCATGAATATAATCTAATGTTGCATAAATTAGAAATATTAAATATTAAATATAAATTAAAAATTTATCCGAATGATCCTACTACTTAATAAAAGCATTATTAAAACCAGTGCCCAAGACAGTTTTTATTTCAAATATAATAATAATAATAACAACAATAATAATAACAATAACAATAACAATAATAGTAATAATAATAATAATAATAATAATAATAATAATAAAACAAATTTTGTTTAAGGTGAAGACCCAGCTTCAAGCTCAGTCGGCCCAAACAATAGCAGTGGGACATCAGCATAACCATGGTGGTACGATATCAGCTTTAAAATTATTGTGGCAAAATGGCGGTTTTTTGGGTCTCTATCGCGGTTGGTACGCAAACATCCCTCGAGTCTTCGTTGGTTCGGCAACACAACTTACTTGCTTTGGACTGTTTTCCGATTGGCTCAGACCTATGGAGGCAAGGAATGAAAATTAACTTTGATACTATCCTTTTCTTCGCAGCTTTATATGCAATTTATTTCATTGTTATCCATCTATATTTCGGCAGTACATTTTATTCATTTTCTATTTTATCCATATATAAGAATATCATACTTAGCACATAATATTATGAGCTTATTTGTAAAGACAATGACGCACGGATTTCAAAATGCTTTAAATTTCTTAGCGATTAGTGTTAAATTATAATTTGAGAAAGTAAGTAGTTCACTTGATCAAAATCATTTTGATACATTATATTACACATCGGAAAATTTTCTATATTATAATAATAAATATTTTCAAACGTAAAATTAATTCTATACTTTTCTTTCAGATATATAATGGAAAGCCAATATTATTGACTTTTGTGGCATCTTTACTTGGGGGAAGTTGTGTAGCAATAACTATGCAACCATTCGATGTTTTAGCAACACGTTTATATAATCAAGGTAACTTACATATTATATTTTATACTTATATTATTAAAAAATGTTTTAAGTCTTATGAAATCTATTTTAAATAAGTTTGCATTTATTAAATTAATCTTAATATCTTTAGGGACGGATGTAAAAGGTAATGGTGTTTTATACAATGGACTTTTCGATGCATTATACAAGATATTTAAAACCGAAGGTATTTTTGGACTTTACAAAGGGGTTTTTCCAACATGGTTAAGAATAGCTCCGCATACGATTCTTTGTTTGGTATTTTATGAAAAGATCGCAAGAATCTATAATGATTTAGGAAATTAATGCTTCGCTAGCTTTATAATTGAATACCTTAATTTTAAGATGAATATTTGTTTATCATAATTTATTATGTTTTAGATATAACATTTTTTTACAATTTAATCGAGTTTTACATAAATTAAGCTGGTAATATTTTTTGTATACGTATATTTTGTATTTTCATGACGTCTTTAATAATCAATCAATTTTTTAAATAAATTATTGAATCTAAATTAAATTATTGTGTATAAGGGAGGGATGATTTTTTAAAGCGTCTTATGTTAAAATTTGTAAACCATGCTAATGAATGAAAACTCGAATTACATGATAATCGATACAAAATAATAAATCTTTTAATTCGTAAGAAATTTGAATGTGAAAACATTTGACGTTAGAATTTTCTCTGTGAGAAAGCAAATATTAATTTAATATAAAGTTATTATTATGTATATGCAAGCATGAGCTACAGTGTTAAGATAAACGGCAATAATGAAGAATATAAAAAGTGACAATAGTAATAATTGTAGAATACTTTGATTTAAACATTCCAATCGTTTACAAATACATAGGCCAATAGCACTGTTAAAAGTACGAAGAGATTATTTTTAAAATAAAGTTTTTATCAACATTTTATTAATATATGATATAGTGTTCTTTTATTTATAATATAATGAGGAAAAGAGCTTTTTTCAAACGTCCATTAAACAATATTCAAAATCTTTATTTATTTTCAGTCGGTATTAGTTAATACTTTTGTAAGATGCAAATATAGTACAAGTAAATATTTTAAATCTATTGAAGAATTTTTAAAAGATATTCGCAAAATAAAAGCATTAATCGTTAAATCTTATTTATAAGATTCCTAAACACTTTTATCAATACTTAAAGCTAGAAGGGTTATTAAAGTCTTAAAAGAGTAAATACATTACGTTTATATTTTGCGCGTAAATGTTGTCTAGAACTATAGATGCAGGACTTACGTAACCATAAAACATACCGAACCCTGGCAATCATCAGCTGATTTCTGCACACACTCATGGTTCAACAAGAGGGCTTTCTAATATTCACTGTAATAATTCACTTAATCGACAATAAAGAAAAAAAAAACTATAATGAAAGATGAATCAAAGATCAGCTGCAGAATTTTTTATTGGAATATCGATTGTTATTTTTATAAAAGCAATAATCTAAGTAAAAGGTGAGTACTTATTGTCATACATTAGTTTTCAATTTATTAACACATTAGTTGCTTAAGAGACTGTTTTAAACAATTTTCTTATATTTTCTCGAATTCTAATTCTCATCCTCGTATAGTTTGTTTTCCAATTAGTTACATATATTTCAATTATAATATTAAAAATTTCTGTCTTAATTTACGTCTTCAATTCGTAAAACATATAAATATTCTACGCAGATAAATTCTTTTTTAGTTCAATTAAAAGTGCATTAATAAGTCATTTCCCTATCATTATAAGTTAATATGTGAATTTGTGATTTTGTAAAGAATATTACTATCTGATAATTTATTAATTTTAAAGAGATATGAATTATTTTTTATTTACTATGAGCAAACAAATAATTAAGCTATTAGTTTAACCATAATTTTTTATTCGTGAGAACTATTTTTTAATTTTATTCTCAATATTTAATGATACAATAAAGATTTTGACCACCATCGCTTTATGAATACACATTACTAACGCTCAATCGAAACTTTTTTCAGTAAAATTTATTTTGAATTTATTGATTATCTGTAAATTAACATGTTTTTTTTGCATTGTATGTTTAATTATGTTTTTATTTTTAATATATTATTGTCATGCAATTTTATTTTGTTTTAATGTCCATGTGTCTTAAAATCTATATTCCGACTAATATTAAAACGACTTTGAAATAATTGTTAGCAAAAAAGAAAAATATAATTATATACTATTACTGTTTTATTAACCTATAATAAAAATATAAACCATATGAAATCCCAATGAAATTTACATATTTAGCTATATTACTTTAAATAATGAACGAAGACTATTAGTTATTCGTACAAATGTTGATTTACACGTGCGTAAATAACAATGTTACATTGCGCGTAAAATGATGAAAAAAATAAAGAGATTTTAATTCAAATGTAGTAGTGCAATAGTAAGTAGATGATTTTAGATATGTTAAATATTATTTGAAATAGACAATATTAAAATTTGGCTTGAGAAAACAAAGGCAATGGAGTTTGCTATTGGCGCGATGGCCGCAGTCTGCGCTGGCTTCTTCACCAACCCCATCGACGTCGTCAAGATCCGGCTGCAGCTCCAGGGTGAACTAGAGGCTCGGGGTTCATATCGCAAGATCTATCGTAACACCTTCCACGCGGCATACTTAATCGCCCGGCACGAAGGTCTTTTCGCCCTGCAGTCGGGGATAGTGCCGGCACTGAGCTTCCAGATGCTGCTAAACGGAATTAGGCTCGGCGGTTACAACCTTGCTAAAAGGTATGAATTAATGGTCGACGAGACCGGCTAGGTGAACGTCGTCCGGAGTCTCTTTGTGTCTGGAGCTGCCGGCTGTGTTGGCTCGGCTCTCGCCAGTCCCTTCTACTTGGTAATTTTTCGGCTATTAACAACTGTTTGTCTTGCTCCAGCTGTATTTTCTTAATAACTGATTATTTTGTTTGAGTTTGCCGTGAACAATTAAGGAGTAAGTAATTTGCTTTTTCAAGGAAATTATAGGTTCTCTTGAAATAGGTAAATAGTTTTTATTATTCCATTTTCTTTGTTTTTTATTAATTTCTGTCGACGTATAGTGTTTTCTTTATATCGAGAAAAAAAAAATCATTTTTCTGATATTTCAAAGACCTATGTCTCTTTCTTCTTTTAACGGTGATTAATGAAAAATAATAAAAATTACTATTATTATTTGATGCTTAATATTTCTTAACTAATTTAGGAAATTGCCTATTTCTTTTTCATTATAATAATTGTAAATTAAACGATTTTTTGTTCAGTTTTTCAGCTTTTAATGCATGATTCATAAACAATGATTGAGCTGATTTGGCTATTAAAACAATTGATTTTATTCATAAATTTGATATAAGATTATTAAATTATGTAACTTTTTTTTTTTGAATTTTTAAATATAATATTAGCCACATTTAGTCATTAAAAACAGTTTTATTCGTATGAGGGTAAATAATCATAATATTATTTAATTATATTTACTATAAACAAACATTATGTATACTGAGTGTTTGACAGCATAATCGTATTATTTATAAGTAATGCAAGTAATATTAAAATAAATATAAAATGCTATTATTGTATCGACTAAGTAAATTGGCAAATTTAAGATAATTTTTTTTACAGCTATTTCACTTTGTTTCCATACTTATTCTATATTTATAATTTTATAACTATTGATCGCAGAATCGATTTGTCTAGTTTATTTAGTAAACAATGTTAGTTTCTAAATTTTCACAAATATGCGGTTGACGAGAGGAGTGGTAGTGGATGCGTATTTAAATATGTTTTTTGAATTATTATGAATTTATGTTGATTTACTTAATGAAAATTTACATTTAATAAAGATATCTATTAAAAATCATAAACTTATTAAGTCTTAATATCAGTTTCAAGAGATGCGTACATAGTAATCAACAGACTTATGATTAACATTTATACATCATTCCGTTAGATTGAAAATCTTTTTAAAAATCTATAATTATTATATATATTTTTAGATATACTTTTCTATATATATATATATATATATTTAATAAATGTATAATTTTATTAAATTAACATTCAATTGCGTGTTTCTTTCTTATTCTTTTTCAATAAATTATTGAATAAATATTGTATGTCAAAAGTAATCTTCAATTATGCAATGACTTATTAACCGTTATAAGTGGTCAATTGGTGCTGAATTTTATTTTCATAGCTTTCATTTCTAAATTTGTATTATCACGAGTCTTTACTGTCACTCAAATAATTGCTCTTAATAACTAACAAACATAAGAACGAAAGAAGTAAGAACCGAATATTAAAACATTTAAATTTATGCTTTGAAGCAGCTTTTGAAGAGAGATTTCTTCACACCTTCGTTCGAATCTAAAACACCTCATTCGGCACATTGACTGACTGAAATTCTTCCAGGTGAAAACACAACTGCAGTCGCAAGCTTTAAGGAGCATCGCAGTTGGTACGCAGCATCAGCACACTAGCACTTGGTCCGCCTTTCGCACCTATTGGCAGGAGGGGGGTATTCGTGGGCTCTATAGGGGTTGGCATGTAGGTGTTCCGCTAATAACCGTCGGCTCGTCCGCGCAGCTCACCTCCTACAGTCTTGCCCTGGACTGGCTCAAGCCTTATCAGGTGAGAGAAAGTTTCATCGATTTGCGTTAATACGATAGAACAGATATTGCTTCTATTTTGGGTTAGTCAATTAGATGGGATATGTTGCTAAGTTAAAGAAATTTTTATCATCGTTATTATTAGAGCTATTACATTGTGGATAATTTTTAGTATGATTTAAATTTTTAATCTGAATTTTCTTACGCATAACTTTATAATATATTTCAAATATTGCTTTCACGTTTCCTGTTTTTTTTTTTTAATTCGCATAATAAATAATAATTTAATAACGTTACATTTAGTTTAAAATATTTATGAATTGAAATTTTATGTTTTAACGATCACCTTATAATTCTTCTATATGAATAAATATTTATTTTAATAAATGATAATATATAAATATACTTATTTTGATAAATAAACAATAATGGATTTGTATTAGAAGCATAAAGTGTGAAGCATAATGTTGAAATAATAAACTTCATAGTTATTAAATGTTATTATAGAAAACGACGTTATAGAGAGTATTTTTGTTAAAAGTTGTATATAATCGGATAACAAATATTTTTTGTCCATATACTCTGTATATATCTATATAAAAATTATTAGAGGAACAATAGATTTCAATAATAGATTTTAATAATAGAAAATATTATTGTTATTTTTTAAATAGTCTTGTTTAATAATTATTAAAAACAAATTAATAATTTTATTGAGAAAATTATCCTGCTTTCCTACACTCTAAAGTAGTTTTTATAAGAAAATCAATAATTTATTAAGATGGGATAATTTAGCACATATAATAATAATTTCTTAAATTGCTTTATCACTTGATAGAAAAATTTTATTTCAGATTTTTGAGGATAAACGAATACTGTTGACTTTCGTAGCTTCCTTAATCGGTGGTACTTGCGTAGCTGTTACAATGCAACCCTTCGATGTCGTGGCTACAAGAGTTTACAATCAAAGTCTGTTATATTATTTTTATTTTTTACAATACAGACATTATAATTATTGGATATTAACTGTCGAAAAATATGTATTTCTCTTATAGAAACAGACGCATTAGGAAAAGGTTTGTTATATAATGGATTATTCAATGCATTCTATAAAATTTTCAAAACGGAAGGAATCGCAGGGTTTTATAAAGGAGTCTTTCCAACCTGGTTGAGAATTGCACCTCACACAGTGCTCTGTCTCGTCTTCTATGAAAAGTTTGATCATTATTATGGGGAAAATTTTTAGATAAAATATGAAAACAAAGACTATTTAATTTTTTGCATAAGCTTATATAAAATACAATCACTTTAAAGATAAATATATGTAAAGTAAATCACAACATTTTTAACGCTTACAATTTTAAAAGCGCGCATGTATTGCACATAAATTTTACATAAAATATAAAAACAAACACCATTTAATTTTTTGCATAAGCGTATGTTAAATACAATTACTTATGAGATAAATATATGTAAAATAAATCACAAAATTCTTAACGCTTATATTTTTAAAAGCGCGTATGTATTGCACAAAAGTAGTACGAAACTTCTCATTTCACGACACGCAATCTTCATTACGAAAATAGATAATTTCTATATAAGTACATACAAAACGCATAAATATGTTTATAAACTTTTTGTATAGAATTATAAATAGTAAAAATATTTCTAAACAATTTTTCATTTAACCCGTATTACCAGAAAAAGGCACAATCCTTAAATACTTTTTCATTATACTGTTCATCATATCACTTTCACATTTTAAATTAATATTTAATATGATAACAGTCATTATCTGATTAAATTTCTAGTTATTTTTATCTTATTTATGTTATAATTATGTCAGAATTCTCTTCATTTGGTCTTGATTTCAGTCCTTGAGTAATTAACGCCGCTATTTCACTTGTAGTCTTATCACGTGTTTCTGGTAAATACTTCCTTTTAATAAAGAATAAATTGATTTTCAATCATTTAGTATAAACTATAAAGTTCAACAGTAACTGTACATAAAATTTCATACTTATTCTAAGATAAGATAAGAATATTATCATATTTCTATAAGAATTCTTCATGATTTTAAAATGCTTTTAAATAAATTATATATAAATACATTAGAAAAATGGGAGAATGATGTTTTATATAATGTATTTAAATAAAATGAAAATATAGAATATATGATTTAAAATGTCTTAAATCTCTAAATAATAATATTTAGCATTAAAATTATTTTAATAGGTAGTAAGCTATATTTGTATCCAAAACATTTCATACCTACAAAACAATGCAAGGAATAATATGCATGCTGCAAAAATGAGGAAGGAATAAGAATTTAAAACCTTCTGCATCGATGTAAAAGTCATCCCAACAATGAAGTTACCACCCCAATTACACACACTTCCAATAGACATTGCTTTTGATTTCGGACCAACATCAAACAATTCTGACCCAATAAAATAAGGAATAGGACCTAGTCCAATACCATAAAATAACACATATGCAAGAACTGCAATAATACATATCCATTTCATAAAGGGTAGATCCTAAAAATAAAATATAAAATCACATTTGTAATTTACAAAATTTTGTTTTGTTTGATAATAACATATTGTTACGATAAAATATAATAAACGTGTTAGTTTATTTTCAATTCAACTATAATTGATGATTCTATATTTAGTAATTTTGAACCGATACTTTTTAAAACATATTTGAAAAAACAAAAAATTCATTTATTCATTTATTCATTCCAGTTCATAATTATTATAATAGTCTTGTACTTACAATAAGTGCAATCGAAGCGCATAAAATAATTAGACAACCTATAGTTGTGTAAATACTTGTTAATAGTAAGGCTCTCCTTCGAAAACGTGACATCAAATAAACAGATGAAATAGCCATTCCTACATTAACTAATCCAGTGCCTATAGTAGCATATTGTCTTGTCTTAATAGCTAATTCTGCTTTTTTAAAAATCACATCTGAATAATAAAATACAACATTTATTCCACTAAGTTGTTGACCAAATTGTAACAAACAAACAAGTAATATTGGCAGTCTTAAAGTTGGCTCCTTAAGTACACGAATTATTGTCCATGAACTATTAACAGATTTGCTAGCCAATTCCTGTTCTAAATTAGCTATTTCATTGTGCAAATCCATTCTATCCATATTTCTAAAGCGACTGAGTGCTAAAATCAAATTTTTCAAATACTGTAATTAAATGTAAACTCCTTAACAATTGTACATTTGTACATTGTAACTACATTGAAAAAAAAAAAATACGTATACAATTTATAACAGGATTCATGATTAATGAACTAAAATTAACTTGTAGATCTCTAATAAATAATCTCTAATAAATAACTATTAAAGACAAACCTTCTAATGCACTTTCGGAATCTTCCTTAACAACAAATAAATACTTTGGACTTTCTGGTAAAAAGAAAGTTAGTATTAATCCCATTGTACATAATGGAGCAAAAGCTGCTAGCATATAGTTCCAATAATATTTTGTTCCTAAAACAGAATCGAGTCCGGCAACCTGCCCCAATAGTACACCACAGGTAATACCTAATTGACATAAGACACCGACAGCACCGCGCAGTCTAATAGGAGCAATTTCTGTCATATAAACTGGTAGCAAACTTGTTGCAAGACCACCAGAGAGTCCAACAAATAATCTACCAAGTAGAAATAATTCAATAGAATTTAAAATTGGTATTAAAAGAAACATAACTGATCCAACGATGCCACAGACATTTCCAATACTTAAACTACTTTTACGTCCTACTGTATCAGCCAGTAGACTTGACGTTAAGGAACCCGTAACTCCTCCAATAAGAAAAATTGATACTATAGTTGACCAAAGAAGATTTAATCCCTCTAAACTAATTTTAATATTAAAGCGCTCTTCTATACTTTGGTTACAAAATTCTTGCATTATCTATAATATATAAGACCTTCATTCACTTTGTTTCAAATTAAATAATTTATTTAGAAGTATTATTGTACAGTTATAAAAATTATGTATTAAAATAAAACTCACGAATGCAGCATTATTCATTACACCAATATTATATCCAGCTGGCACAGCTGAACCTAAACAACACGTTATACCAGCAAGAATTAATAATGGTGTCCATCCACCACAATTTGAACTATTATCATCATAATATTTCTATAAAAATCATGATTTTTCATTATTCACACATTGATTTAATTCTAAGATAAGACTTAAATATTTGAATGTGATTTAATAGAGAGCGACAGACACAAAAGTTTATACGAAATTAGATTTATAGAATTTATAAGATATACGAAATACATATGAAATAAATTAATCAAATTAGTGCAAATTACGTTCTTTGAATTTAATAGATTATAACTTTATAAATTAATTAATAAAGAAACAAGTTAAGAAAATTATCATAAAGTTATTTATTTTTTAATATTACATTAAATCTATATAATGCGTTAATTAATTCAATCTAGAATTTAAAAAAAAATATTTAAAAACAATGCTTTCTTTTTTCAATCTTTTTTTTATCTTAAATCAGTAATTGAATAAAATATTAATTGAATAGATCAAAATATCGAATAATCCATTAAGCAGTTGATTCTAATTAGAAATTGTGAAATGATTAAAAAGAAGAAATATTTTAATTATACAAAACAGGTTCAATGAAAGAGTAAATCAACAATACAAATAAATAATTTGGTTATTATTAAAAAATGTATTCACCTTTTACAAAAAATAAAATATAATTAAATCCTATATTACTGTCATTCCAAAATAAAAATATAAAAGGAATATGATAAATAATTTGTTATTTAAGATACAATATGATTTTATAATCAATATATAAAATTAATTTTTCGCTTAAATTTTTCAAATTTATTATTTTAAAGGCTCCTTATTAATATAACTGAAGTAGTTTGTTATCTTAAAAAAATTCATATTAATAAATAAGGCACTGAAATTAGTTATAAAATGTTAGTAGTAAACAAAACTTTTACAATTATATGAATGAAAAAAAAAAAAAAAACAATAAACACTAAATCAATGACTTACTTTTTCTTCCGAATCATTAAGTAAATTTATTTCGTTTAATTTGTACAGCACCGTGACGTCAGGATCTGTAACGACAGGTATGTGATTATGACATGAGTTATTATCTTCACAAATCTCTCGATGTAACGAATCCTTTTTTAACGTCATTATATATATTTTAATAATCCCACGTTTGAGTCTCCCAGTTTTACCTCAAAGGACATTAATTCTACGTACGACAATGTCAATCCCAAAATAAAGGTTAGATCGACTGCTATTGTACTTGCATTATAATGATTTGGAGATGTACAATAGCTCTATATGCACATATGCATTTATATATATATATAGATATGTATATATGTATATACATATGCGTGCGTATAGATACGCATGCGTGTAAACGCATTATCCAGGCGTACGTATTTTTATGTTTACATTACTTAGTTACGAAAACATAAGTAAGCATTCGACCTTACTTACCTTAGTAAATTTGTTTTAAGCTGATTTCACAGTATCAAGATAAGATATTTTTATTTTAAGAAAATCTAAAATATTTATCGAAAACATAATAAATGAAAATTTATTATAGAACTATATAGGAGGGCAATCGTTTAAAATAAATTTATAATAATATATCTCAATGTAAAATAAATTTGTTACACTGACTTATCATTATGATTATAAAAACACATTTATAAATTTTAACTTATTTTCATTTTTATTTAAAAAAAATTAAGGTCGATATTATTTTGATTATTGATAAATTCAATTTACCTTTTGCTATCATATTTGATAAAAATATTTGACTTGTTGAATCACGATATAAAAACCCGAAAACTAAAATTACTCTATTAAATCTGTTTTGTATTAAATATACGTAAATTAAATATTATATTTAACTTTTAAATCTTTAGGCATACTTTTTAACGTATTTCTTTTTTTTTTTCAATTAAAATTTTTAAGATACAAGTTTCATATATGTGTAGTCGCGGTACAGAATTTTTTTCTGGAAGATTCTTGTAAAGGAGATAAACAAAATTGAATAAAAAAATATTGGAAGTTCCATGAATCGATTTTATTGACTTTAATTGGCGCATTTTACGTAAATCAGTAAGATTATTAATATTATATTATCGTAAGATTTTTGTCTTATTCAGAAATTTTATCAAATTTTTATATTATTTATCACCCTTATAATTTATTAGAATGTATGTCAAGACTATAATCTAGTTGTGTGATCTTATGAAATATTAAATATTTAAGTAGTAACTTTTTATTGTTCCATAATACAGTACATAGTATTCTCTTATCAATTGTAATTAAATTATATATATATATATATATTTTTTTTTTATTGATAATTCAATTGTATAATTATTAATTTATTTCATATATTTAGAGAAAAAATTTATAGTAATTTTGAAAGCTATTAATTTTACTTTTCATGTATGCAGTGTGGAATGCATTGAGTTTCTTATTATGATAATGACATGAGAATAAATTAAAAATATAATTTTACATCGTATTGTATTAAAATATTTCATAATGAAATTATGTGCCAAATATAACTGTTAATATATTTTAAATATAATATTAATTTATTTTTATATTCATTATTTTTCTAATAATTTTTTAAGACGCAATTATAATGTAATTCAAGTATTTATAATAATAATGTATAAAAATGATTTTACATTACGATAAAATATAAATCGTACGAATTGAAGATTAACGAAGCGTCAAGCAAATCTTTTATTTATGAGATTATTTGTATATCATAAATTTAAAAAGCTTTGGGTCAACAGAAGTAATTTAAAAGTAATGAAAGATTACAAAATTAAAGTATTTAAACATTTAAATTATAGGTAAGTTTTTTTTGTAAATTTTATTGTAAATGTAGAGACACATTAATAAATATATGAAAAATATTTTATTCACTCGTGTATATAGAATATAAATTTTAATTATTCATCGATATAACAATGTATTACCTAAAATAGTGAAGATAGATATTTTGATTTTCTCAAACTGTAAAAGTATGAAATGCGTTTTATTAAAATGAAAATGAAATTCTAATTTATTTGTCATAATAAATATAAATATTTCTAGTTCCACATTTTATTAATTTTTTTAATTCCTTTCAAATGAATTTTAATGTTATTTAATTTAATTTATTTTGCTTTAAAATAACCAGCTCATATATTTATCTGCGATATATTAAGGAAAATGTAATATGATTTGATTGAAAATTCTATATGTACTTTCAAATGTATATTATTTATTATGTCATTTTATGTATTTATGTAAATACACACACGCGTAGATGTGCAACTATATTTATTGCATTATTAGGCACTTAAATTTATTACATAATGCATTTAAATTTATTATATTTTTGTAATAGTTTTTATAGTTAAATATATATTGGAGATAAGGATAATTTATATTATTTGAATATAAGCTTTATTTGTTATTTTGTACTAATATATATGTCAATTTAAAACAAATAAGAATATTCTATTTTTATAAATATGTAACGTATAATTAATTATCTGTACTTCTGAATATAATAATTAAGTATTAAATCAATTTATTGATTTGTTTCTTTTTTTTTTTATGAGTTTATATAATATATAGAATAATTTTCATTTATAAAATGATTATATAAAAATATATTCACGAATCAATGTTAGTTAAATGATTCGGTATATGAGATATTTAAATGAATGAAAAATGAATAAAAAATTAACTGAAAGTAAATGTGAAATAAATGTTATATTTTATAAACACTATCTATTTCAATTATTACAATAACTTAGGAAGTTAAAGGAATGTAATTTGCTTTCAAAAGTCTTTTATGCTCTAAATAATCGTATAGGTTTCATTTCTCTCTCATAGTAGATAGTCAGGAGAATCTTCCTTTATGAATAACACTTTGTTATATAATATCCATCTTATTTATAGAACAAATAATGACGTTTCATCTTGAAATTTAATGCTGAAATGGAAGATTAAAATAATTACAGAATTTTATTTGAATCACGTTATGAATAAGTACAAGCTTATGAATATTAAATTCCATATGTCACAGTATGAAATTCAATTTGATTTCTATATTAAAATAAAGCAATTTGTGTTAAAAACGTAATAGTAGAAAGAAATAGATAATGGCAAACACAATTTTTTAATTTTAAGCTCGAATTGTGGCCTTGTACTTTATATTAAAACTATTTATTTTATAAACTTTCGCATAATCTAGTAGAATAACACGATGAAACATACTTTCACACACAAAGATAATATTTTTAACGAATTCAATTTAATAATTATAAAGCTATTGTTTCACTGTAAATGTAAACTGAATATAAACTAATTTCAATATATATTGAAGTTTTGTCATTTTTATTTAACACGTACTTAATAATAAATATTTTAATATTAAATTATCTTTATTTTAAATGATATATATTATTTATATTAACATTGAATTTCATCGAATTAAATAAATTAAAAACGTAAATTAACCATATTAAATTTACAAAGAGAAATAAAAATAATTTTATTTTCGATCACTTCACTATATACTTTCCATATTATTTATTTACCTTAAACTTAACCTAATTATTTACCGTAAATTCGGATTTTTAATTAATGTTCGTTTCTTATTAAATTTATATTTAATACCTTTAAGTTTTTTCATGGTTAATGATTAATCTCGCTACTGTTTATAGGACATGTGCCATCAAACTCCAGTGTTTCACTACATAGACTTCCGTAGTAATGATGATCGTGGACAAACAAATTGAGTACTGTTGCTTTACTGAGATGTGAGATCATTTTAAAACATTTTTACATATAACTTTAGCCTGAATTGCAGATATGTATATATAAAAATACATTATCGCGAATCTTATCCATAAAAAAATATTCAGTATAGTTGTATGTCAGCGTATTTACATTGATTAAGAAACTTTTTGTATTTCTTATCGACAAAGGTTGCGGAATCAGAAAATAAAATATGCTGCAATATAATTTTAGAATTAATTTGAAGTACAAATTATAGATTTACTCTTAGTTTATATATATATATATATATATATATATATATATTGAAAATTCTGCAGCTAATCTTTAATCGAGTGAAACAAAATATACATTTTATTTTGAGTGATGAAAATATGCTTTTAAATAGATAACATATACATTATTTGCCTTCTTTTTATTTTAATCGTAATTAATTATAAAATTTATCATTTTATGTATTTTATGCAATTTTATATTATTGAGGACATTTAAAAATAAGATATATGAAAAATGAAAGTAACTTACGTCTAATTTATTTAAAAAATACTATTAATCTAAATTTAATTTTCAAATTACATTTTGGAATTTTATACTTTTTGAGTGTATCATAAAAATGAAATTACAAAAATATAAACTTTATTTTATTCATTAATATATCGAATGTATTTGAATGCAAGTTAAACTAAATTATAGATTTTAGTATTTAATTTATTATTAAGAACTTAAAACATTTAAGAACTTTTAATAAGATTAATATGTATGAGTTTTTTCATAGGTTTCTAGTATTTTATTTAATTAAATATAGTTTAAAATTTTATTTTGAATGATTAAAATTACAATAAGCAATGAATGTAATAGTAATACATAACATTTTACATAATATTTTAATAACACTGGTTGTTTGTATAATAAATTTTCATAAATATGAAATTTTGTAAATGAAAATTCAAATATTAAAATGATAATATATATTAATAAATATTACAATAATTATGATGCTTAGAAAATATCTAATTATAAATACTAAATCTATGATGAATAAAACATCCGTATCTCAAAGCAATTCTCTATGAGTTTCTTCTAATAATTTAATATAAATTCAAGTAAAAATAGATGGCGAAGAATTAATAAATTGTAGCATGAAAGATCTATAAATTAATATAGTTTTTGCAAAAGACTTGAGCAATGGTTAGATAAAGCGACTGAAATTGTATATCGCAGTTTCAAATTGATTATGCTAATTTTAGGCGTATTCCGAAAACTTTTCCACTAAAAAATTTTGCTCATTGTGTTTCAGTTGTAATGACATAATTTAATTTTATGTCTGTATAGTGCCGTTATGACAAAAAAAAAAAAAAAAAAAATCTTTTGTATACTACCTTAAACTTTCATCATGATTTCAATGTATTTCAATAGCAACTATAATATAGTTATGAATAGGTAGTAGACTTGGTAATGAAAAATAAATATTTCCTTATCAGTACTTGAAATGAATGAATAAGAAATTTT